GAGGAGGTGGGGGGAGAAAGGTAGTGTTTGTTATACTGAAAAAGAATATAGAGAGAGAGAGAGAGAGAGAGAGAGAGAGAGAGAGAGAGAGAGAGAGATTGGTCTGTAGGAGTAGAGGAAACCTGGGGGTCAAGAGCAGCCATTTCCAGGTCCTTGAAGCTACAGCCCACAGTTCTGTTCTGGGAACATGGGGATAAACAGCTTGAAATGTGGTGCTTCCTCAGTAGGAAGGAAGGTAGGGTTTTCTGTTTGGGAGACCAGGGACCATGGCGCAAAAGCACTTGCTTACAAGGGAGCAAACTCCAATCTTCTTTAAGGCTTGCACAGGTAGGTCAGCTCTGTCCAGAGACTTGGGGCACCCATCCCAGGCACCGAGGCCTCTTAGTTACATTGGACTGAACTGCAGTTGCCAAAGGATTCCTATGTATCTGCAAGGCTAAGACAACTCAATAATTTTTGGTTTTGTTTTTTGAAACAGGGCCTCCCCCCTGTAGCCCAGACAGGCCTGGAAATTTGGGATCCTAATGCCTCAGCCTCCTGAGTGCTAGGATTTCAGGTGCCTCACACTGCTTTATCAGTTTAGTAACTTCAGATTTTCCATTAGAGCTCAGTGAATATGAGGTCCTCTGTAGGTAAACCATGTCCACCCAAGATGAATGGTCCTGCTTGGTGTGACAGGTCTTCCTGTCATGCCTCCCACATCACCTTCACATCAAAGACTGCTATAGTTCCAAAGGTCAGTTAATTTTACTCCCTTCCATGGCCGGTCCCCTGATTTCCTTGCTGTATGGTGGGGATTCCTACCTGGGAGGGAATTCAAATTAAGACTTTGCCGCTCACTCGGCCTCCTGAAACCCCCTTCCTCCCATTTGTACTCATTTCCCCCTAGTAGAACGGCAGGCCACCTCCCATGCTTGGTGCTATGGTGGCACTGAGGGCGAGCAGAGACCGGGAGGCTAGAGTGAGGGGTCCCTGTGTTTCAGTGACTCCCTTATTCAACAAAGGCCACCAAATCCTTGACTGGCTTCAGTGTTTGGAAAGTGACAGTGCCACCCTAGTAACTGGGCATTAGAGTCACACCACCAGTAGGAGACCTTGGCCACTGGGCAGGGGACCCAGAGGAGTGTGCCCTTTGTTAAAGGATGGGATCCTCTTCCTCCTGTGTTGGGACAGGTAGGCCTAGTGTGCCCTTCTTGTAACATCTGCTGCTATTAATACTGGTCTACAAGATCTCTGAGGAGTTTTCTGGGGCAGGGTCCAAGTCTTCTGTATAGTTTCAGCATCTGTATAGTTTCAGCATCTGGGGGCTATAGTAGCTGCTCAATCAACAATCAGGAGAGCAGCTGTTGTTGCTGGTAACTTGGGCATGTCCTTTATTGTCTTTGAGCCCTAATTTCCTCATTGGTCACAGTGAGGTGGCACTTATTATGCTCAGGTCGTCTGTTGAAGATTCCATAGAGAGGGTGCCAAGTGTGGCTCCCACTTTCCTGTGGAGTCCCTGCCCTCTTGATGCATACAAGCTTTGCCTCACTCTCCCTGAGGCAGGTGCAGACAAGTGTGGGCACTCACTCTCCAGGATGAATTTTCAGTGTGAGATGCTAAAGCCACTCATTCTCTTGCTACTTTGTGAAGAGCCCCCACTGTGGTTTCTGTCTTATAAGATTGAGTGGGACAGAAAAAGCAGGCTTTGTCAGAGCAACTGCAGGACCCCAACGCCCCAGATTGGCCCTTTGTGTTCTATGTGGCACAAAGTAGCTGTGGCAGGTCAGCTGCCTTAGGGCCAGGTTCCTGCTGTCCTTCCTGATTGGGAGCTAATCAGATTGTGCTGTGCTGAGGGTGCTGGCAGGGAGGGGGGCGGGTAGGATGAATGTAATGAGAGGAGTGACTTGGAGAGGAGGAGGACAAGCAACCGCAGGGGCAGCTCTTCTGTGTTGGATACCCGAGGAGCCCCAGAGAAGGGCGAAGTGACCTTCCTGCCTCCAAGAAGCAGGACGGGGCTCTTCAGTAGAAAGCATCCCCGGGTTAGCCAAGAGGGTAAGGAAGCTTTGGGGAACCTTGGGGACAGAGGAGGGGCTGGGGCTGGGCACTGGGGACAAAGTAGTGAGCAAGATGCCATCACAGGGCCTGGAGTTAAACTTCAAGGCATGCGTAGGCAGCAGGGAGCAGAGAGCAAGGCTCCAACCCGTAGCAGGTTGTGTTGCTAGCCCTGGGGAGCTGGAGCCTCCACAGGGACCTGGTGGGAGCACAGCGGGGCTGCAGAAGGAAACCAAGTTACAGCTGTCATTTCTCTGTCAGGCAAGGATGATATGACTTAGGAAGCTGGGTGTGTTCCTGCCATGCTAGGTAGACCAAAGAGGGAGAGGCTACAGTCCTGATCTGGTGTGACAGCAAAGATGGCTAGGAGGGCGATGATAACAGAGACCTAGGAGCCTCTGAGCTGTGTGGCCTGCTGTGTATCCCATGGGCAGGGGGAGGGCAGCCCCTGACTAGCTGGGAGGTCAAAATGACCTAGTTGTGATGACCTTGGTCGATTCTGAAGTGTCTGTGGGGTAGGAGTTTGGGCAGGACAAAAGCGACATGAGATTTTGTAGTCACACGTGTAGAGACAGATAGGGACAAGAGCATGAGTTTCAGAAATGGGGTTTATTGTTGGCCAGGGCTTCAGAAGAGTGCTCCCACTCGCTGTGGAGCAGGCTTGGTTTCTGGAAAATGATTTGAAAGAACATGTCAAGAAACAGAGAGAGAGAGAGAGAGAGAGAGCCTAGTTCTGCCTCACACAAGTGTGGGAGTGGTGCAGGATCTTGTGGGGAGGGGCTCTCGGAAAGCTGAGAGCCAGCCCCCTGAATTTATAGCATAGGACAACACAGCCAGCTGTTAGGGGCTCGGTCAAGACAGGGAGACACCGGAACAGTGCAGTCATGCAAGTCAAGACATTGAAACTATGAGGCAGAAGTATGTTCATTTGTGAACAGACATGATAAATAGTAGGTTAAAACAGGTTGGAAAACGACACACCCTTTTCTATGAAAAAAATGCATGCAAAGATAATGTAGTCATCAAATGTTGGTGTCAACTTGCAGTTGTTTTCTTTTTCTCCCTACACAGGGAGTGCACATTAACAGCCCTCTTCTTCTTTTTAAATGGAGGAGCTGCCTGAGAATTGGAGTGGAGCTGGAGCTGACCACCAGGAGGAGCCGGCAGACCCAGGCTGGAGCCCTGCAGGACCAGAACATGCACTAGTGTGCTGGAAGGGACCACAGTCTGTCTGCTGCTGCTACCCACTGCTGGTACCCGCTGCTGCTAGGAGAGGTGGTTGGATGGGGAGGCAAGCTGACAGCTGTCTAGGGAAGGAACAGTGAGCTGGAGCTCTGATGTCCCAGTAGGGTTGGTAGTTTTGCCCAGCCAGGGAGAGACCTTCTAGTGGAGCCACAGCCACTGCCGGTGGCCGAGGCAAAGGGGAGGGAGGGCCATGCTTGTTTCCCTCCTACTCTCTTCTGTGGGGTCATGGCATCATGGGAACAGGAGGGAAGGGTAGAGAGCTAGCCTGAGTTGTCCTGCATGGGGAGGCTGTGCATGTGCTGGAGCCTGAGGGGTCTCCTGACACCAGCAGTGCCTCTTTAAGTAGCAGCATACCTGCTCTGGCTTCCTGTGTAGCTCATCTGGGGTGCAGCAGGGTGGATGGAAACCGGAGCTCTACACGTGAGGTTGCGTTGCTGGTGCCTTCAGTTTTAGAAACCTCCTCCCACCCTTGGTTTGGGAAGGAGCTGGAAGAGACTGGGGTTCCAGTCTGTCTGTCTGACTGGCACAATGAGAGCAGGACACAGCTCATAGGATTTGGGGCCTTCTCTGGGGTGCCCATGCTGACTCTCAGATCTGGGGCTGGGAAGGTTTTTCCTCACCTCCAGCTTGGGCTTAAAAATGTTAGGGGAACGAGGCTTTTCCATCCATCTGGAGAAAGAAATGGCGAATCCAGGACCTTCAGGGAATTTGCTCACTTCTCTGTGATGTTCCTGTCAACTGCACCAGAGAAAACCCAGGGCCTCAGGAAGTAGGAAACAAAAACCCAGACATGGGGCCCATGCTGTCATGAGAACTCGAGTTTTCAATCTCGTGCTTATTTTACAAGGAACCTCAGTCAGGGGTCTCTGGGGAGGCCGAGTTTCCTGGTGAGGTGCTCTGGGACTTAAGGACTCTGCCCCAGGATGGTGGGAGGAAGGGGCCTTGAAGGTGGCACAGGGTGGAGGAGGTGGTAGGGGTGATGCGGGAGCAGGCGGACCTCCTGCAGGCTGTGGGTGGCTCCCTTGAGCTCTGTGTCTTTCTCACAGTGGCAGTCTCAACATGGAGAGCGGTGCCAGCTCTGCATCTACCCCTGCTGCCCTGCCATACTATGTGGCCTTCTCCCAGCTGCTGGGTCTCACCGTGGTAACTGTGACTGGTGCGTGGCTGGGTCTGTACCGAGGTGGCATCGCCTGGGAAAGTGCCTTGCAGTTTAATGTGCACCCGCTCTGCATGGTCATAGGCATGATCTTCCTGCAGGGAGATGGTGAGTCCTGTGGGCCCAGCTCTGCACAGCCATTCCTCTGCCCCTCAGTCTGTAGCCATCTCTGGGAGAGGCAGTTTGCAGGGATCCTGTCACCCCAGACATCTTTTCCATTTATACAAATCAAAGATTCTAGACAAGACAGATAAAGTAGTTGGGGAGAGTCCAGGGAGCCCGAGGTTGGAGGGTGGGCTAGCTGCTCTCCAGCTGGTTCCAGTGCGCCCCCATGGTTTCAGCAAGTGGCGTCTCAGGGGGCAGGGGTGCTTTCTAGAGTGGAGCCAGGGCTGGGCTGTGAGCTATGCTATCTTCAGGGGTAGCTAGACATGAGGAAAAGTCATACACATGTGTGCATGTGTGTGTTGTTGAATTTGAGCTTGGCTGATCTAGAGCTGCTGTTCCTGGAGTGGGAGCCAGGTGGTGCCTGGCCTGAGCACTGCCTGGAGGGATCTGGATCTGGAGGAGGTCCTGGCAGCCACCCCTCAGCAGCAGGTCCTAGGAGGCATCCAAGGCTCTGGCCTCCCTCCATAGCAGTGAAGATCAGGCAGGATCACAGGGTATGCTTTGGGAGGTGGATGCCTGCTTGCCGAGAGCAGTGACTATCTGAGCAGGCTTCAGAATAGCACTCTGCTAAAAGGTAAACTGAGTCTGGCCATCACCTCAGCATGACTGTGTAATGAACCCTAACATCTGAATTATTGAATTCAGTGGACACCTGGCAAAGCTGGGTATCTACCAGGCCTAGCAGTTGCTGTAGGCAGAGACTAAGAGCAGAATCCCGCCTTTGCTGCCTCTTGTGATGACAGGAAGTGTGGCATAGCTTCCTCTTCTGGCTTCTGAGTGTGTATGGGATGGAGGGGCTCAGGGGAGAGACAACTTTGGCAGAAATTGGGAAGGGCTCAAAGTCCCTATGGAGTCCTGTTTTCACCTTCATTTCCTGTGGTTGGTGAGCCTTGATGAGCTCTTAACTCAGACCATTGTCCAGCCAGGCCTCCTTGCTGTCTGTCCAGTGCAGGCCTATACACTTACATTCCTTCTCTCATTTCCCACAAGCCCTGCTGGTGTACCGTGTCTTCAGGAAAGAGGCCAAACGCACAACCAAGGTTCTGCACGGGCTGCTGCATGTCTTTGCTCTCATAATCGCACTGGTGGGTGAGTTCCCTGGCATAGCCTTCCCTTCCCACCTGTTGCTTCAGGCTCGGGCAGTAGCTGCTGGACATGCACTGTTTCCACTCTGAGCTGCTTGCCCTGCCCCCCGCCCCACAATGGCATCCCAGGCAGGGACACTGGGTGCTGGCCATCATTGGGCTGGCCCAAAGCCCAGAAATTCTGGCTAGTGGCTTCCCCAAGGTCATTCTCCTCCTTTTTCCATGTCCAGCCCTATCCTCACATGGCCCCTGCCTCTGTTCTAGGCTTGGTGGCCGTGTTTGACTACCACAAGAAGAAGGGCTATGCGGACCTGTACAGCTTGCACAGCTGGTGTGGGATCCTAGTCTTTGTTCTGTACTTTGTGCAGGTGAGTCCTTCTAGCACCTGGGCCCTGGGCCACCAGCAAGGGATGGGGGAGGAAAAGGGAGGGGAAGTGAGACTCAAGTGTGCAGTAGATGGGTCCCTTTCCTAGGGTGCATGTCCAAAGGCGAGAGAACAGGTTAGTTTAGTTGGATGTTGTCTTCAGCAGCTGAAATGGGTATAAAGCTAGGATTTTAAAGACCAGGTGCCCTGGACTCCCCTGCCTTTGCCACTGACTCTGCATGGTGTTGGCTCATATGCTCAGCTTCCTGAGTTCACAGTATGGTAAACTGTGCTGAGGTCCAAGTCTCAAGGCAAAAGGCTTCAAGTGTTGGAGACTAGGCTGTCTTCCCCATAAGTGCTCACAGTCTGCTTCCAGCACTTGAGGGACCCCAACAGGGGCTTCAGGCTACCCTGGGGGCCTCCTGTTAGTCAGCTGTAGCCAGCTCATGGCTTAGCACAGTCTCCTTTCCTTTTAGTGGCTCATGGGCTTCAGCTTCTTCCTGTTCCCTGGAGCTTCGTTTTCTCTGCGAAGCCGCTACCGCCCTCAGCACATCTTCTTCGGAGCCACCGTCTTCCTCCTTTCTGTGGGCACGGCTCTGCTGGGCCTGAAGGAGGCGCTGCTCTTTAAACTTGGGTAAGTGCAGTAGGTGGGAAGGGCAGGGCCCACAGTGTTCTCTGCCTCACTGGACACTTTTCTGAGCAGCTGGCTTTTTGTGGACTTTCTAACTGGGAGGATGGAGGGGCCAGCATTATCAGGGCTGAGATGTATTTGGCCTCATTGGGGCTCTTAGGTGACTTCTCCCTTACCTTCTTTTTAAAAATACTATTTTTATTTTATGAGTATATTGCCTACATGTATGTAAGCGCACCTGTGTTGTACAATGCCCATGGATGTCAGATCCCCTGAAACTGAAGTTATGGATGGTTCTTAGCCACCTTGTGGGTCCTGGGAATCAAACCCAGGTTCTCTGCAAGAGCAGCCAGTGCTCTTAACTGCTGAGCCATCTCTCCAGTCCTCCCCCTTTCCTTCTCACCCTGCAGGACTAAGTACAGCACGTTTGAACCCGAGGGGGTCCTGGCCAATGTGTTGGGCCTGCTGCTGGCCTGTTTTGGGGTGACTGTGCTCTACATCTTGGCTCAAGCTGACTGGAAGCGGCCTCCTCAGGCTGAAGAGCAAGCCCTCTCCATGGACTTCAAGACCCTGACGGAGGGAGACAGCCCCAGCTCCCAATGATGGCCTTCCTTCCTGTAGAGGGGGCTGGGTGTTGGTAGTCCCCTTGGTTCTGTGGGTTCCGGATGTCTTTTTGCTCACCCCAGGAGTGCCGGGGCAGCGGTGTTAGTTTAGCTGGGTTCCGGGGTCTGGGCCTGTCCTCTGCTTTCCCTTCCTTGCTGCAGCTTTAGATGTATCCCGTGAGGCATGTGCAGGCCCTGCCTGGGCCCTTGCTGCTTGTTCACAGGCAGAAAGGGGATCTGGGGTCAAACCTGGTCCTGATCCTTGGAGGAACCAGAGAGTGGTTGTACTCTCAAGGCAGCAGATGCCTGGAGCTGGGTCTTAGGGACAGGCCTGGAAAAGCCAAGGCTGCTGCTTTGTGTAATGAGTGCAAACTGGGAGTCCAAGCAGCTTGGGAAGCACGTGTCCTTGGCAGGGGAGCAAGTGATGTTATGTGTAAAGTATGCTCCTCAGGAGAAGGGTGGAGACACCCCCCCACCCCCAAGCATTGCCATGTAGCTTGACCCAGACACCATCCTGGACCTTCCTGTTCTTTAACAGTGGGTTTTGTGGGAGAGGGGATAGGTGCACAGGACTTAGATACACTTTCCTGGTAGATAAGGGTAGTCTGCTGGTCGTGGCAGGCCTGCTGGCCTCCGGCTGCCCTGTGGAACTCTTTCCATCAGGGACTGAGCCAGCCTTGCCTGGACAGGCTCTGGGAGCCTGAGGACACACACCTGGGTTTTAGAGGAGGCGCCGCTGCTTGTCTGGTTCTCCAAGGGGCTCTACCTGAGGCATGAGTGGCTCTGGAGGACGACCCCCACTTCCCACACCTCGGTCCATCTCTGCAGGACAGCAGAGTGAGTGGAATGAGAGGAATGAGATTAGTCCCTTGTGGTGTCTACACACCCTCCAGCCCCCTAATGTGTGTTGTGTTCTTAGCTGACTCATTGTTTGGCTGCAGTCTAGAAAAAATGTGATTAGAGCATCGATCTTGTGCGGCTGGGCAGATGTTCTCCTTGTTTTCCTAATCTTTTGAGGTCTGAGAAGCCTCAGGGTTTGGACAGTTAACTTACTGGGGAAATTAATATCATTTCTGAACCCAATGATACTTTTAAGTGCTGCCTCATAGCAACAGGCTGGTCTTTCATCACCTGGCACACACTTGTACAGTCAAATGTTTACATGTGGGAAACTTGTCTTTAGACAAACTACCTAAGTACCATTGTGATCTCCCTTGCCAGACTATTCAGAGAACTGGAACTTTAGGTTTGCAATGAGAACCTGTAAACTGGTCTTTTTGCCAAAGTGTTAGATGACCAAGGACCAAAGAAAGCCCCTACGCAGATGTGTGTGATTTCTTCTGTTTGCCTGTGGCCAATCTCCTGTGATGTAGTGTGTTGTTAGTATAAGAGATGAATCAATAAATGTCTACAGCAGACCACTTGCCTGCTATTTTCATTTACTGTGGCAAAGAAGGAGCCAAATCTTTATGCAGTCAGATACACGAAGTTAGTTCTACTAGGGTTGAGAGAAATTGTCCCCAAGATGGGCACAGCAGGTAAAGTGACCATAGTGTTCTCGTTTGGTCAGTAGAGGGATCCTTATTTTGTAGGGTGGTGCTGGCTGAGTCTAATAAGGGCCTAAGACAGGACATCCCTCAGGTACAGTGTACATTTGACCTTTCCCCCTTTTAACATGCCATTTTGATCCTTAAAAGGAGGAGCAAAGCTTTTAGAACAGATTTCATATTAGTTTGATTTATGACTCAGTCAGGAGCTCTGTTTATTGTCAATTTGGGTGGGTCTTACCATGCCTAACAATCCATGGTATACCTTGCTATTTAAAGCAGCTCAAAGCTGGAAATGGTGGCACATGCCTACAATGCCAGCACATGGCAGGCAGGATGATCTTGAGGCCATCCTGGACAATACAGGGAGATCTCATCTTAAAATAACAGGACCAGCCTGGACTACATAGGGAGATCCCTTCTTAAAGTAACAGAGTTGGAGGAGCACTTGCCTAGTGTAGGCAAGGCCCTGGATTCCATTCCATAACAAACAAAACAAAAACTACCCCAGTAGCAGAGACAAAACTATAAAAGCCTCACTGGAGAGCTCACTATTTAAAGGAAACTTGCAGAAAATTCTCTCATCAGTAAGTTGTTCCTGAGCATTTGTTTAGTTTTATCCCACTTCTGGTTTCTAGCATGGAGGAGCCAGAACTGGGGGCTTTCCTGTGGTCTTTTTCCTGAACCAAGCCTTCCTTGTGGCCCCTCACTTAAAAGTAGTCAAAGCACACAGCTTGGCACATGTACAAGCTGATGGCTGTCAAGCACAGGCTGGCCAGAGGGAGAAGGCAGAGGGATCCTGACCTTGTTAGGCACTGTCTTCTGGTTTGGGGGCTGCCTCAGAATCATGCAGCCTCTTTGTGACTTTCAAATGATCCCAGATGCTGAAGGCTGAGGCTGCTCCACCAGAAGGTTACTCCTCTGTCCCCTCCTGTACAGATCTCAAGTTAGATGATAGCAAGAGCTCAAGATCTGCATTTGACTCAGTGCCAATGCTGTTTGGGTCGCATTCTTTTTTCTGGCTCAGTCTTTCGAGAAAAGCAGCAGCAGGGCAGCTCTGATTCTGAGCCCTACCTTCGCCTCTGTATCCTTGACAAACTTCAGCTCTCAGGATCTGCTTTGGTATATGTTTTAGTGTGGTGGATGAACAGAGAATTTCCCCTGAATAAAAAGCCACTCATTGTGAACCCTGCCAGCTGCAATAATGACCCTCCTGGCAAGATATGCCCATTGGTGCAATAGTGACATAAGCGTTGTGAGGTAACCAACTACTTTCTGATGGGAATTGAGGTCAGCTCCACAGGACAGAAATCATGCCTAGCACTAGCACTAGAAACTGGGCCAAGAACCTGTGGCTGTGTAGGTCCTGGGCCCCAGGTAGAATTTCTATTTAGCTAAATGGACATATCAAATTGCCTTCCAAATATCTGTATACCCATGGATTAGTGCAGCTCTCAACCCTAAACAGAGAAGCTTCTTTTTTTGCAGTGGACGGTAGTTAATACAAAGACAGTTGGTCAAAGCACAGAGAATAAGTCCTAAATGGACATCTATATCACACCCCTTCCACCAAGGCTCCGGGATTATTGTGGGCAGAAAGACTGTAGGGACCTGAGGTTGTGGAGGGCTGCTATGAAGATCAAGATCAAGCCAGTTAAAATTCCATCATGGATGAGGAGGTGCTCATGAAGCCCCACTCCTGAGAACCACTGGCGATTGATGGTTGCTGGGGAAGGGGCAGTTTTCTTCAGGATGTGACCCCTGATAGGTTGCTCATACTCCAGTAGATGGCCACATACCCATGCACATACAGGTGGCACTAACTGGAGTCAGTGGGTTAAAGGGGGGCATGAAATTGGGAGATATGGTATGTAGGGTCTGGAAGGAGTTGGGAAGGACTGGGGGGTGGCTATGATCAAAATATACATGTATGAAATTCCCAAATATTATTGAAAAGCCACTCACGGTGACAGTGAGTTCTGCAGACATCTTTGTGGATTCTCTAATGTTACTTTGTTCCCTAGAAGGTGCTTTCTAGTAACTATGTGGGTACTACTCCATTGTGGGGCCTCTGTGAGGAAGCTACACCCCCTCCAGAGTGATGGAAGTCAGAAACCAGTGTGGAGGCTGACGGTGTCTTCTTTTACCTCTGGCTAGCCTTGTGTTTGATGGAGCAGCCTGTGATATGTGCCAGGCCATATGCTTTAAATATTTTTAAGCAAATGAAGGTTCACAAGAAGTTCTTGGTTCAGGAGAAAGACCACCGGTGCTCTGAGGAGAGACCTCTTGGTCTGGCTGCCCTATTAGGAGTGTCAAATTTCTATCTCAGTGCCTGGGCATGGTGGACAGCCCAGCTGAGTGTGGACTCTGAGATTTTCTCATGGTTTTCCTGGGCCTTTGTGCATGGCAGCTTTATTGTCTTATTCCTGGAAACACACCGACTCAGTCACCAGTGAGCTGTGCTTAATGTTCCAACATTTTTTTAAATTTTATTTTTTTATGTGTATGAATGTATTACCTACATGTATGTGAGTGCATCCGTGTCGTGCAATGCTGCAGAGGTCAGAAGAGCGCTTTGGAACTGAAGTTAAGGACAGTTTGTAGCCACCATGTAGGTGCTAGGACTTGAACCTGGGTCCTCTGTAAGAGCAGTCAGTGCTCTTAACCACTGAGCCATCTCTCCAGCCCCCCAACTTGTTTTTTAAGCTGTCTTCTGTACCCCCTCCACTGGTTTCTGCCTGACCTTTCCCAGCTCACTGGGGACAGTGTGGTTTCCACACAGACGTGAAAACCAGAGCATCTACCCAGATGGTTACTGGTAGGGAAGGACTTAACAAGGAACTTAAGAGAAGTACAAAGATGTCTGCTGAGCTCACTGCTTCTACAGTGAGTGGCTTTTTATTCAAGGACAATTCGTTTAAGGATTACTTTTTTCTTTTTTGTGAATCACCTTTCTTTAAAGGTGCTGCTGGGAATCCTTTAAAAGTTGGGTTTTGGCAACCACTCATTCTTAAGACTTTCTTAAAAAGTGAAGACAGTGGTTTTTCAGCCCCAGCAGGTGGTTCCTTCCAGTCTTCTCTGTTCTTTGAAGGTGATTCTGGCATCGGACAGCTGTGCTTGGCCTGGAGTTTTCCTGCTTCCTCAGGTTTTGGTTGTTTGGGAAAGTGGATATAGTCGCCCAGCAGGAATGTTTGGCACAATCAGAGGTCTAGAGGAAGAGGTCTTCTTCCTTGTCTCTGAAGTAGACAAAGAGGTTTCAGTGAGGCAAGAAAGGCTGCAGGGCTTAGCCTCTCTGTGTAAAGGTAGTGAGCCTGAGCCAGTTTTAGGACGCCTGCAACCTTTCTTTCTGCAACTTGTAGCTGTTTAACTCTATGTCTAGAACTAGAACGGTCTGGCCTGATTCATGAAGAAAATGTAAAACAGTGGGGGCTGTGGGTCCCCAGCTTGATCTATTGAGTTAGCCTCTAGCTCTGCAGCTAGGCTGCCCCCATCCCCTCAGGCTTGCCTTCTCTAAACTTGACAGCTATGCTGGCAGCACAATGCAGCCTTGGATTTTGGTAACGCAGTAGGGCTTTGGTGAGCTTCAGCTAACAAAACTGAAGTCACACAGCCAGGCATGGTGGCATGTGCCTGTGGTCCTAGCCACTTGGGAGGCAGGAGGATCACTTGAGCCCAGGAGTTCAAGGCCAGTCTCAAAACAAACAAACAAAAAAAACCACAATGAAACCTTGCATGACACAAACACAAAGAATATAGTTCTCTTGTCTAGCTTCTACCGAAAAGCCCTTTTCACTCTAAATGCAGCAAGTCTTCATTGAGAGGTACCTAGAACTGTCTTTGAGTCTGCAGCACCCTCAAGTGTCCAACTCAGGGGAAGTGCTCAACAACTTGGCTCATGAACTGGCGCAGGAAGGGACTACTGAACCTCCCACAACACACCAACCCAATCACCAGGAGTTTGGCTTTAGCCTTCACCTGCCAAGTTTTCCCTTGGAAGTAGCACCCTCAGCACTGTAGTTTCAGCTGAGAAGTCAGCTCCCTGGGCAGAGTAACGGCAGGAGAAAAGCAATATGACACCAAGTTTCTCCAAGTGTTGACCATTTATAAATAAGTACATTTGCTTTCGTACATACAGTTCATTGTACAGATGACGCTCTGTATACATGGGGCAGGAAAATGCATTCATTTGAACTTTTCACATCTATCTCACACAGCTCACATGTACAGACAATAAAACTGTTCAAGCAAATACAGCAAAGGAAAATGTCTTCCTTATACATGGGGCTGGAGGCCTCCGCTGGGTGTGGGCATCCCCACTGCACGAGTTCACAACTGTGTGGTGTTCAATATATCAGGATAGAGAACAAACATGCATTGGATAATATACTGTACAGAGAAAGTCCTTTACATCTGAGTTATAGAAAACCTAAAGGAAAACTAAGTGCATTAAAGCTTTTTCCAGCAAGTGTCTTGAAAGGACAGCAAAGAGGAATAATCAAAATCATATTAGTACAAATCACTCTTTAATTGTAGACTGTACAGGTCTGTACTAATTAAAATCATCTTGGATTTGGAGGAGACAGAACAGAGAGACACAGATGCTGTGCTAGATGGAAAGGAGGCCATGCCTGAGAATGGCACCTGCCCTGAGCCCGACAAGGAGCTGGCCCCACTCAGCAGGAATCAGCCGCGTGGTCAAAACAAAAACAAGAAACCAGGACAGGAAGTATAACTTACAGGATTTCCAAAATAACCTGTGAATGAAGTGGAGATCTGGAGCTGGCCTCTCTAACTCCTTTTTTCTTTCCCCCCAGTAAATTGGTACACAGTAAGGCAGGTACATTCAAGTACTGAATTTTCCAGAATTAACTGTCTCATCCTGGGGACTGAAGGGAGTTGAGTCCTAGCCGGATTTTTCTGGTTAGTGACTAGCAAAGGAAATATTCAGCCATCGAGTGCTACAGGAACAAAGCCGCTGGGCCACTTCCTTCCCCCAGAGTAGGTCTGTCTGAAACCAGGAGAACGGCACTGGCATCTTCGTGCAGCCAGCTGCAGCCTGACTGGTCAGCTTAGTGTAGGGCTCACAGTCAGCAGGAAGAAATGAGATGACAGGGTAAGGAAACATGAGAGCAACACTTGATTTTTGGTGTCCAATTATACGTTCATTTGGTACTGACTTTCAAAGCTCTGACTGTGGCCATCACTGGCCACAAGCATCTCAGGGTGGCTCAGCTGCTGTGAGGCATTGGACACCGAAATGAAGGTTACCAACACTTCAGCCCTTGAGTGGTCTGTATTACAAAAAGAGTTGATGAAGACCCAGTGAATATTCAAGTAGCTCTGCACAGTGGCTCCACCAGCCCCGTTGTGCTTGTGTCCAGGCCCCCAGCCAGCCACCTTTTCTTGGAAGCAGCCAGAGCTGAGTTCAAGGCATTGCATGGTGAAGGTTTCCATGACACGTCTTTGTAGGTAGCTCTTACCCCTAAGCCCTTTGTTCATTGTTAGTCATGGTAGATGGTCGGTCTGGAATTCCCAGAGGAAAAGGAGAAGTCACACCTCCCAGCAAGCGCGCAGCAGGGCAGCATGGCTCTCGGAGAGAAGCAGCAGGCCGCTTCTTGAGAACTGGGCAGCCCAAGGGCAGACAGGCAGGGTGGGTGAGGCTGCTGAGCACTGGGAGCCTCAACAGGAGACGGGCACAGGGGCAGTGTGTCCTGCCCCCTGGGGGAGCCTGTTCCATTATGTGGCAAAGATTCAGTGAACAACGGGTTTTGTCCAAGGCATTTCTGCAGTAGAAAAATAACTATCTTTAATCAAACCACCCAACCATGATACTTCTGGAGTTATAAAAGTTGGAGGCTGAGCAGAACTGAGGAGGGATGGTCATGGGGAAGATAAGGCTCCTCGACACTCCCATTCTCCCGGGAAGGGAATTCTATTTAACCTTCTTCCGGCCTCTGCCTGGCTGAAGGTCCAAAGCAGGTAGTGTTCAGAATCTGTCTTGCTACAAGTGACATGGATGCATGAAGACCCGTTCCGGGCCTCTGTTCCCTTCTTCCTGAACTCAGTCTACAACAGGCCTGCCTGGTGCCCTGGCAGCAGCTCCAGAATCATTCTTCGCTACTACTAAGTGTGGTGCAGAGCCACACTGACACCTAGTGGTAGAGTACGGTGAAACACAAGTGACGTCCATATATCCCACTGTATATGACTAAAATCTAAGGAAAAATACCTATGGATATTAAATTAGATACTGGTTTTTAAATTTTCTATTGGGTATATCTCTATAATATAAAAATACCAATATTTAGAGGGGTTTCATAAACTACTATACAATATAAGGACTGAGAAACGCCTTTCTCTAAGCTGTTCTGTTTACAATAATTTAGGAGAAGTGTTTAATAATCCAGGCTTAACCAAAATCAGCAAACTTGTATATCTGGACAGCAACCTGGGACACTACATGATTCTAATTAGCGGAGTTTTCCTGAGCCATCGAGTTTAAGTTAAACACATCTGGAAAGCAGGGTGCCTGGGAGAACAGGAAGGGGTTGTGCTCTATTAACTTGGGACTTTAATAGTGCACGTCTGCAACCCGGACAGATACAACAGCAGATACAAAATGATCTCCATTTTGTCCATGCCAAATTCTCATGTTACACAGGTTTTCCCTTTACTTTGTAAATAAACATTAATTTTAATTGTTAATTGTGTGCCTTACTGATCCAGTAAATAAATTAACCATGTCTCAGGAGTCCCTAAGAAAATTGCTGGAAAAGCACTTTAAAATCACTGCAAATATTTTCTCGTATTTAAAAATTCTTAGTATTTTTGATGCTTATATACAACAGTTATTTCTTGTGCTATAAATGTTGTGATCCACTGCTTGATTTCTTTCCTTTTTTTGTTGAAAAATACACTAAAAGACAAGAGCGATTCTAATTTCTAATGAAGACATTACTCACACTTAAATATCCATTATTTATCAGAGTTACGAGTTCAAACAGTAAAGTGCACCCATTTATAGACATGATGTGATGGAAACCCATTAATGCAAGAATTCTGGGCAAACAGAGCACATTTTGGTGAGAACCCTACAGGCTGAAGTTTGTCACCTGTCTCCACTCAAGGGTGAAGTGAACTGGGTGAGCAGAACTTGCAAGTTCCATTTGAAAATTTTCCTCCCACCTGAAGCTAGACATGTGTTCAGCAAATGTTTGTTGCTGGGAAGGGAGGGGCATCTCTAAAATACAGTACTAAGATCAATCCATGGCAGTGAAGTAGCAAAACAGGGCACAGGCAGTCTGCTTCCAAGAAAGACCCTTGTCTCGTGCCTCAAGAAGCTCCTGTTGGTGTTTTCTAGTCAAAAACCACTCATGACCAGTAGTGATTCTTATTTTCTCTTATGATGGCTACAAAATAATTGCATTTTGACTGCTGAACTTTTGGGTGGGGCTATAGGCCCCAAATATTTTTTTTTCCCCTGGAAAAATGAGGACTGTGGGGGAAGTGCTAGCAGTAGAAATCTGCAAGACCACAGGGCCTTAGGAAAGGTGTTACTGGTGGCATTCCAAACAGGGACTGTAGCACTCCCCTAGATATGGTTTAAATCAGATATGATGTAAAGAGACCAACAGGGAGGTGACCTGTCCAGGCAGGGTGCTGACAAGCGGCTGCTGGGCTCTCAACCACAGGCTGATCCTGAAGCTATAAACTTCCTCTTCCAGATGGGAGAGGTGGAGACCACTGATGGCTACTCTGGTCTGGGAGGAGGAGGAGGCAGTCTGATGAGTGAAAAGTGTTCTGTGCACAGAGATGAGTCCTGACCTGGTTTTGGCTTGGGGGCTTGTGGGGATGTCCACCTACTTGGCAGAAGGTGGATTAGTAAGGAGAGATTTCGGATTCAAGCTTCATGCTCCCAGATCTTACTGGTCCTTTCAGAGAACCTGTATCACAAGCAGGTCACAGCTGGATTTTGCTCAGGAAACTGTTCTTCCTGTAGCCCTTTACTGACAAGAGCAGAGTGATTCCTAAGAACACAGGGCCAACACTCCCTTGTTTAGTTTGCTGGGTTGAGTTGCTTTGTTTAAGAGCCGCTGTGTGTCCAGGGATGGGACTACACTATGGCTTTGGTTTCTTCATCCGTCTACTTCATAGTGGTCTTGGCTCTTTAAAAGTCAGGTTAGCAAACAGCCCAGACCCAGAAGGTGTGCAGAGAGTGATGGGAGAAGAGGCCACTGTCTGTCTCATGCCCCTGCCCAGGGCTAAAAGGGGTCTGTTACACTTTTTGTTGCTTCTGATTTTCAAATATTACCCCTAAACATTCTTAGACAGAAAAGAAATGATTTCTCTAAAAGTGGATAATGAAACCACAGGTCTTGAAAGGATTAGACAGCAACTGGCGTGGAGTGCAGTGGTCCTGGGTGGAAACTCTGGGGTCAGCTTTACAGTCCCAGGAGAATCCAGGCAGGTACTGGAAGGAGCAGTTTCTTCACAACACCATTTAGATTTGAGGAAAAGAGAGCCAACAGGACAGAGCCTGGCTCTAGGTGAAGATGCAGCTAATAGGGTCACTGCACCTGCCAGCCCTCAGAATGGCCGGCTTTGTGCTGCTTCAGGGTCTTTAAAAGTAGACTTCTTCAAGACAGGTTTCTTTTACTGAGAATCCAGAACAATCTTTTTTTTCCCCCTCTCTCCTTTTCTATGTATCAATTCCTTCCTCTAGCCTTGTAAAATCAGCTTTTAGTGGCTAATTGTTAGTTAAAAACCCAGAGAATAACTCTTGGTGCATGCTTTAAAAAATACCCAAAATGCTCATGGAATTTCCTTGGCTGATCAACTTATGTAAAGGGCTGGTTGTTTACTAAATGTTCCCAAAATGCTTCTTAGAAAATCAATGTGGTGTAACATTTCAAATAATTATAGTGGGGTTTCCTTCCAATTTAACAGATTTCTTTCTTTTTCATACTCCCTAGATTCCTTTACCCCATGGGAAGACCAACAATAACATAAATGAATATTCTAGACCTGATGACTGCAGGGAGCTGGAGTCTGGGGAGACCATGCCACAGGAGTGGACTGGGGCTAGCCATGGGGATAACACTGGGTAAGAATGCAGGGACACAGAGTCTTGACACACTTCCTAAGGTTCTAGAAGAAAACAAACAAGAACATCTTAATTTTTTAAAAAGGAAGAAAACATTTACACAACAAGAACATCAGTGAAAGCGATCGTCTCCTGGAAAAAGCTGACCAGTGTGTCTGATCTCCCTGGGTTAAAGCACACGGCACAAAAATCTCCTCGTTGGCATTGGAAGAGAGGGAGAGAGCATGTGGCTGGAGCACAGACCCGAGAAACTGAAGTCCTGGCTCACTGGAGGCCAGCTTCCCAGTCGGCTGCATGCAAAGGATTTCAGCATGTGGGCTGCCACCTCTGAACACCACACAGAAACTACATGAGAAATTAAGCCAGAGAACTACCTCAGATGTGGAAACCAAGCCTGAAAATGTGCAGTGAAAACATATGGGTCTCACTCCAACAGATGTCTTTTAAACATTAGACTCCACAAATGGTCTCTTTGGTTTGATAGGCGATGTCTGCCCTTGTCGAGAGTCCCGGGACAACTGCCTGTACAGGTTGTCCTGGTATGCCTGAGCCACGGGTAGAGTCCGAGCCACCTTCACATCGGGATAGGAGGAGGCCTGGCTGACTCTCTCCAGGAGGTCTCCACGGGATCCATTAGCCAGCATCCCATGGGGGCTGTAATAGTCGTCCTCCAGCAAATGGCCATTCTGTGCATTGTTGGTTTTGTTATAAAAGGCAATGTTGCTGATGGATGACGGTGGACTGAAGGACTCAGGCTGAGGCAAGTTGCCTGGAGATGTGGGACTGAGAACGGTATCCACTGATGACACTGCCCAGGTCCGATTCTGCTGGTGTAGGTGGGGGTACTGTTGAGTCCGGGCTGTTTTATCTATGATCCCCATGAATGGTGTGGTCCTGGATCGGGTGGGCTCACTGGGGTAACCTCCCTGAGTGGGAGACACTGGTGACAGCTCATCACATGACCTATCATATGCCGGTTTCAGTGGGATCTCCATTTGCTGAATTGAGGAAGAGGGCCGGAAGGTAGGAGTTAGGTTGGAGGTGGATGAGATGCTATTGCTAGATGGAGAAAAGCGAAGGCCCACGCTCTGTGAGTGCAGCAGTGGCCTGGGAGTTGGTGGATGGGGCTTGATTTCATTAGGGTTGACACTGATAGGTCTTCTGATTAAATGTGAAACTTCAGGGGAACCTAGCTGGCTGGAGGAACGCTCTAGATCTAATTTTGAGTGACAGACTGGATAATAGGATGCTGACTGGCTACGCCCAATCTGAGGTGTCTGGCTGTACCTCATGCCACCTCGATAGGCAGAGGAAGGTCGCTGTGGAAGATCTTCTTTGGTCAACCCTCCATGTTGACAGATGGCACCTGCACTCAGGCTGGCCTGGACATGCTGCACAGGTCTCCCATCCCCTACAATCCCCCCTATTGACCCTTGGTAAACCAATCGGCTCTGACTTACTCCTATATCTCCTTGAGAAGACTGGTATTTACTGGCCATCGAGTGGGCTACTTGGCCATAGGCTCCTGTAGGGATGACAGTGCTTGAATGAACTGCTGAGCTGGGCTGGTTACTTCTTACAATCTGGGCCTTGGCAGGCTGTAGCCTGAGCCCTTGCTGGGGAACTGCCACAGGAAGCTGAGGCATCTGGTAGGGCCGCTGGGCCATCTTGGAGAGTGGAGATTTTGGTCTACCAGGAAGCTGACTAACATTTGTTTCTTGCTGATAGCGCACAGGTGAACCAGACTGGGATCTGTAGACACTCATGCTTTCGGCAGGAGGGCTGGCCCGATACTGAGGGCCTCTACGGAGAGGGGAAGGGGGAGGGCTGGGGTATTCCTTGCCCTGCCCTCCTACAGGAGGTGGGCTGAACCTGTATGATGCACCCTGATGAGCTGGGGAAGTGTGTGGTGGGCTAGGCCTGTAATGAGAGTTCTGGTGAGTTGGAGAAAGAGCAGGTGAGGTGGACTGATAGCCTTGCCTAGTGGGAGAACCTACAGAACTATTGGACCGGAAGTCAAAAGCCTGATGGGAGCCAAGAGGGGAGCTAGAGATGTAGGCAGAGTCCCGATGGGCTGGAGAGGAGGGTGGGCTCTGGATGACTGGGAGCCCCTGACTGGGCCGAGCCTCTGTCTGGAGGCCAATGGAAACGTTTTCAACATCCTGTTCAAGGTATTCCTCCTCAAATATGTCCTGTACGGAGTATATATCTTCATTGTGGGGCTCAGGCTCTGTTTCTTCCTCTGGTAACTCCTGTGGAGGCTGCTGGGGTGGCGGTGGCTGCTGCTGCTGCTGCTGCTGCATCTGTCTACATTCTTCCTCCACTCTCAACAGAAGTCTCTGGATCTCGCGGTTGTTTGGACATAGCTTGATGGCCTCGTTCAGGTCCTCTAAGGCTGCTGCAAACTGTCTGCTTGACAAAATGAAGACAGGGACAAGAGTTACTCTGCACGAACAGGAATCACGGGAGCTGAGAACAGGCCATTGTTTCAGAGCACTGCACCAGGCTTGTGGGGCTCTACTGCCTGGAGGGGCAAGGAGGCTGCCATTCTAGAAGAGTCCAGAATGGTTCCCTAACCCCTTGGCCTCCATCTTCCTTCTGCCTCTCTGGGGTTAGTAAAGTCCACATTACATCAGTTCAGACATAATCTTCCCTTCAGGAAGAGTCTCTTAGTGCCCAATCTCGGCCCAGGCAGCATAAGGATTGGTTGGGGTTGTCACTTACAGTGTCACTGTCAAATAGTTTAGGAACAAAATAGTAACTGTAGTATTTAAAAATCTTGCTGATCCAGAATTAAAAAATTAAATAAAAAAATATTTTCTATATTTTGGTTCTAAACTTCAGGCTTTTTCCACCCTAGGTGAGAAAGCTGTCCTCTGTTCCTTTTCCTCCATCAGCCAATTATTGTGTCTTTCTGCTAGGTCATAGCCCAGCAGGCATTAGGTTTGCTGACTAGGCGAGTCAGAGAGGAGCTGAGTTCACTCCAAGGAAATCCTAATTTACAAATGAGGGCATGAGCCATTGAGATATTTTAATCCTCTCTATCAATAAACTGCCTGGAAAGGGGCAACTGGCTTTATGGAAAAGCAATAGTCCCAGAGGGAGAGGATTTAGTAGTTGAAGTTCTATAAAACTTTATTACTCCAGCTAGCTAAGATAGGTCATTGCCATTAGTCACTAGCCTAAGTCTGGGTTTGATCTTTGTGGACATAGTTCCCCTGGTCACAGCAGCGAACAAATAAAGTTCTTTCCCATACATGGGAGAAGGTGGGGTGTTGGGCAGGAGGCATCAAGACAGTGACTAGTTATCCAGAGAACACCGATGGCAAATTCTAGAGCCTTCTGGAGGTTTTCTTGCCCAGTTTCCAGAGTACGGCTGATGGGCATGGGGACGGGGCCCTCCCATCCTGGCAGCAGGACTCCTGTCTGCCTCGCCCTGACTCTGTGTGTGTGGTGGTTTAAGTGAGGAGGGTCGATGCTACCAGACTTAGGAAAGCCCCTTATGGAGAACTATATAATCTAGGGGAGTCCTCAAATGCCTGTGAAAAGAGAAGAGCCTGAGTGAGTGACTGTCCTGCTCCTCACGTTAGAAAGGCAGGTTTGGCTTAAGTGACTTCCTCTTTACCTCAACAGCATCTCTTTATGTCATATGCTTTGGAGCTAAAAAGTGAGGCATGGCAGAGACTTCCTGAAAGAAGGTGCCATTTACCACTCTACTCTTCTCCCAAAGTGCCCAGAGATTCACTGATTGTGAGCTCTGTCTTGTCTACTGTAGCCATCTTCAAAGTAGGCTCTGAGAGTCCTCCATGATACACACATCTGGTACATATACCCCAGGGAGGCCTGATTGCTTCGGCCAGATTTTCGGACACTGCTTTTCACTCTCTTCCCTTACCTGCTGCTGCGTTTTGCCCTTGCTCTCGCATAGTATGCTTCATAGGACTTCGGTTTCAGCTCCAGGGCCTTAGTAGCAAATTCCTCCGCCATTCCAAAATCCTATCATTACAATAGGTGTGTAAATGAGTCATTGAACAGACATAAAAAACAGACAACTTGGGAGTAAACACAAAAAACAATTCTTTGACATTCGTGGATGGAATGCCTGGTTCTGGACATGCCTGACATTGTTCTAGCCATGAGGCCATAGACTCAGTTTCCTTCTGCCTTCCCCTGTGTGGCCCTGAAACCACTCACTGGACATTCCTCACCAAGAGTATTAAAATACTTTTGAATTTGGCTTCTTTGTACCTTTCTAGCATTTTTAAAGCCCAGAAGTTGAATGTCAACCCTCTGTAGGGAAGCTGTTGAAGTTGGAAACCCGAACTCTGCACATGTGAGGAGAAGGTGAGGTGAGCACAGATACAGACAGCTCGGGTGTCCTCATCCTTCCTGCTGTGCCCATAAGACCTTGGCTCCCTGTAGAGTGATTCAGAATGTATTCTGCAAAGTCCAGGAGAAGGGCCTGGGTAAAGGCAAAGTACACTGACTGGAGCCAAGATGGTGTGGGGATGCCAGACCAGATTAGGCTCAGGATTCTGGTCTGCTCTAAGTCCTTAACTGGGCTGTATACTTTTTCATATGCACACCTATTTCAGAGGTAGGAGTAAGTACAATAAAGCATTTAAGTGCTGTACATAGTTCCCGTCACAAAGTAGGTATTTAATAAATTGTACTTGCATTTCATAGAGGCTGTTCTGGCTTGCTCCTTCTCTTACCTGATTCCTTACTTAGGAAACATTAAAAATAAAAGACAAATAAAAAAGAACTGTGGAAACTCTGGCTGTGACAGCTCTGTGCTACCCTTGGAGGCACCTGAGAGGGACATGATCTTATAGCTATCGTGCTCACTGACTACCCCCAGGAACAGGGCATACAATGCTGAGCAGGCAGTCTAAAGGAGAGAGGTTTTAAATCTTTACTGTTTTTTATCCCCCTGGTCTTTTTGAGACAGGGTCTCTCCGTAGCCCCAGCTGGCCTGGAACTCACTATATAGACCAGGCTAGCCTTGAACTCACAGAGATCTGCCTGCCTCTACCTCTTGAGTACTGGGATTAAAGACGTGTGCCACCATGCCCGGCCTTTACTGGTTTTTAAAATATTGTGTTTTCTCTTTAAGACACTGTCTTGCTATGCAGCCCAAGTTAGCCTGGAACTCCAGTCTTCTGCTTCTACTTCTCAAGTGCTGGCATGATACATGTGCCACCATGCCCAACTTAAGATTTTTCTTCTTTAAGTGCCAAGCCATAGTATAGCATGGTAGTCTCTGGTTACATTCACAGTTCCCAAGGCAGAAAACAGGGCTTTAGGAAGAACAAAAGCCTTGGGGGCATAGGCAAGAATTAGTGGGGAATTTCTACTGAAGCAGAGACTTCTGGTACTCAGCACAATGTTGGTCCATGGGAGGTAATGATGAGCTTTGTGAATAGATGTGTAACCAGAGAGAAAGCAGTCTAGCGTACACAGGCCAGGCTCTGTCCCTATTCTACTTCCTCCCTTGCTCTTTTTTCTTTTGAGATAATCATTCTGAGAATATGAGAGTGTGGCATTTGTCTCTCTCTAGTGCTGGAGACTAATGCAGGGTCTTGTGCAGGCTAGGCAAGCACTCTGTTACCGAGCTTTATCCCCAGACAAATAACACTTAAAAAAACTGATTAACTGCTAGGGAAAAAGATGTCTGCAGATTGGCAGACACTACTGAGCTTTGCTTTGCTCTCAGGTGAGGGACAAAGAGACCCTTGGACTGAATTTTTTTGTTTCACATGAGAAACCTCAGGCAGAACCTTACTATCTTAACCCAGGATATCTTCCTCTGCCATCTCTATCCAAAGGAACCTCTTCCATGTCCCCACTCCTTTCTTCCTCTGAAGGCCATAACTGTCCTGAGATGGCCACGCTCATCCCAGGGCTTTTTCACTGTTGGGTTTCAGGTCTGGAAGATGACACAAAGGCCATATACAGTCTTTCTGGACTAGATGGCAGAGCCCTTGCAACTGTAGCCAGAATCTTGCTTTTGTACAGGTGAGTTCTTTACTGACCAACATTCCTATTTGGTTTAGATTATTTCTATCTCTTGAGGAACTAAGACCTTTATGCTGGTGGATGTCAGTGACTTCTGTCATGATCTTAACCATTTCCAGTATCTGAGAGAGGTTTCTTGGCGCAGAAGTCTGCATGACGAAGGAACAGAGGCTGAGGGTGTCTGAGACTATACCTGCAAGGCAAGGGAGAAGCACCAAGGACAACTAGGGAGATAATGGAGGGCCAGAAGGAGTTCTATGATTCCCTCTGAGGCAAGAAGGGACATAGCACACTGGAATAAAAAGATGAGGAGGGAGGTGAAGTTTTCAAGAATAACCTTAGAAATTAAGCCCTGAAGTCCACAGTCCTGAGCCTTCTTCCCAACCTTTGGTACATGACTAGGGAATGTACTAGAAAGAGAAAATCTAAAATCTAGATTTAAAGTCTGCTACCCAAACAGTTTCCCCAAACCCAGAAAATAGATTGAGAGGTGTGTGTGTATAGAGATGACAATATTCCAGTCACTTTCAATGGGAATTATGAAAATCAAGACTGCTACAAAGTATTCACAGAATTTAGCTTGTTTATAGCTTTAGAGATTGTATTGAGACTTTATTTCAAATTGCAGATGTCAGTGCTCTGTGAAAAACAACCAAGTTCCAAATGGGGCAGAGAGGATTTCAGGGGCTGATTATAAGCTAGTGGCATGGACTTTCAACTTCCAGCACTGCAGAAAGTAGGGATGAGAGGGACTTACGTTCATCTTCCTTCGACATCGAGAGAGGTTGAGGAGGAGAGACACCTTTAGCTCCCGGAAGGTTTTCAAGTCCTCACCAAACCCTTCTCTAGGGAATTTCTTCAGAGCATACTGGTAGCGCTGGGCAGCTTCCTTTACTTTACCTTTCTAATGGGTACAAGATGGAAAAACACACTGTTGGTCTGCTGAGCAGCTGAGGAAGTCTGCTCTCTAGTCCCTGCCTGTTCTCAGCAGCTGTTAAATCTACACATTTGAACTGAGAGTAGAGGTCTAGTTCCTTCTACAGCAAACTCACTTGGCAGGAAGGGAAAGGCTGAAGTGGACACTCACATCACAAGCCAGAAAAATACCACCTTGGCAAATGGAAGTGCCAGCTTCCACACTGTGTTCTCAAGGGCTGACCCTGCGCATTTGTAAGCTCATTTTTTTTCGGGACACACATAACTTCCTAGTCCCAAGCACTCCACAGTGGCTGTTTCTCTCTTAGTTTCTGGCTTATATGAGGATTTCCTGTCTGATGCTGTACCAGAAGAGGTCATTCTCTTCTTCATAAAGGGTGTTCAGATTAAAATGGTCCAGCTGTGGCTTCTCTTACATCACGGTAGAAAATAGTGTCAATTCAATCCCCTATTTATGGATAAGGCACGGGCTAAGGAGGAGCGGAGATGTGAAGCTTAGCATTTGTGACTCTGACTTTGTAGGAGACATTTTCCCAAGAGGAAATAAATATATGGCCAGCGTAGGGCTCTGGTCACATAAACATGAACTTTCCCTACATTTATATCTGAAGATCTGCAAGCAGCGCGCAATGTAGGAGGCAGCTTCTATGTGGCTATGACTCTCTAGGCAGCCTCATTTTAATTCTCCTTTAATCATTTTTTTTAATTATGAGAAGAGTAGAATCTTCCAAGATAGAATTCCTGGTGAGAACAATAATATCTCTGCCTATTTACATCAGGAGGCAAGACTCTGCCTTGGGATACTAGAAGTTATGTTATGGACAAGGCCTAAATTCTTAAAAAACGTTTTTTTTGATCTATTTATTTTTATTTTATGTGAACAAGTGCTTTGCTTGCACGGATATGTGTACCACTTGCATGCAATGCCTGTGGAGGCCAGAGAGGGCATCAGATCCCCTGGAACTGGAGGTAGGTTGTGAGCTGCTTGCTATGTGGGTGCTAGAAATCAAACTTGGGTTCTCTGCAAGAACAGCCAGTGCTTTTAACTGCCAAGTCATCGCACCAGCACCTCAAGGCTTAAATTCTTGAGACTGATATTCTGAGGTTCATAAATATGACACCTACAGTAATGAGGACCTTTTAATTCATGTGAAATCAAGTTTGGGTCAAGGCTCAAGCTTCCCTGAAAGCCTTGATTTACTCAGGATGTACTCATAAAGAGTACCAAGAGCTAGAATTCTGCTATGGTCCTTGCATACCCCTGAAGCAGGGGGCATGACAACTTCCAATCATTCCCTCATCTTTTAGACCTAGAATGTCTCAAGGATGCCTGCTGCTAAAAACAAGGTTACAGGAATTTACCTTCAGGAGCTGATGCAGTGAACTGGAACACTGAAGTGACTCTCATGGAATATCCTTACGGAACTTCCTTTGGGCCAAATGCATATTAAGGTATGGAGGCTTCAGCTTGAGTTATGAGTACAAAAAACTCCATTTTAAAAAAAAGATTGTCATTCAGTGAATGACTTTAAGGAAATGCTATACTTGCTGTTTGTCTAGATTTCCTTGTCTTATTCAAAGATGCTATCATGCTATTATTACTATAAATCCTGTCTCCCCCCACCCCCATTTCCCACCAGATTGGTCTCTCATTCTGTAGCTCAAGAGGACCTTAAATTTCTGACCTCTTCCTGCCTATACCTCCAAAGTGCTGGGATTACAGGTGTGTGCCACCATGCATGAAAACTGAGATCAATAAACTGGAAATAGCTGCATTATATAATTTTACTTTTATCTGTTCATGAGTAATTGTAACTGAGTACTTGTCCCATAATCTTACTTAGCACATTCCATGTAAAATCTGTTACCACCTGTAAGTAACTATGTAAAACTAGGGCTTTCGGGTAATGTGCAGAAGGCAGGTGTAGGCTGTTCTTGCTCATTTGTCAGAGAGGCAAAAAACTCAGGACCCCCAACTTAAGAGCCCACAACTAAGGAATGGCAGTCTACCTTCGCCTCTGTAACAAAGGACAAGAATCATCAAGATCTGCAAGATTCTACATGCAGAAAACAGACAGTGATTGCTTTGGGGAAGCTGTTCCTTCTGCCCTCACCTTATAAAACATGTCCCCCTCTTCCATCAGCTTGCTCAACAGGATGATCATGATGTCTGGTTTGGAGGTGGCCATCGCCCATGTGGCTGGACCTGTAGTGTACAGGATGCATGATGGGTAAAGAACTCATACAATGTAAGGTGGTAGGAAGCTAGGTGAAAAAAATATCCTGGGGGAATTTCTGCTGAGAGAACAACTTGTTCCACAATAATGACCTCATCTTTTGGACCTGGGAGCATTTTAGTGACTCCCACTGCCAAGAAGCTGCATTGAATTTGTTTGTATTCACCTTAAAATAAGAATATCTCAACTGTCCAAGCTTGTGCCGCAGGAGGGCAGTAAAGCCTGCATGGTACGTATGGGCACAAAATGGCTTAGTCCAGAATTATTTTAAATCAGGAAAATGGAGGAATGGGTTTATATTAAAGTTCATTACAAGATCTGACAAATCCAAAAAGGGTAATTTATTTTTGCTCTGGGACTGAAAACTCCCACATGTTTCGAGTCAATTTTGAAGTATGTACTTTGTAGAAGGGAAACCATTAAAGACACTAAAGGCTTCCTTAATTTGTAAGTACCAAAAGCACTCCCTGGGATTCACATGGAACCAGGGGCACAATTCAAATGTCTATACATATAAAACAAACCAGCATTAATGAGGCTACTTCACTTACAAAAGGAAAGAATAAGGTTAACATGATTAGTTTACAGATGCCTGATTATTTACCAACTAAGCTTTTCAGGGTTAGTTATTAAAAGTTCAAGTTATTCTCTACAACAGTCATTAAAAAAAATCTTCTTTTAAGGTGAAGTAAATGAAAAGATTAGAGGTGTAGGGAACTCATGCAGGCTGAAATCAAAGAGGAGAAGGCAAAGCTGACCAAGCCATCAGACCATGCCTGATGCTGACAGCGCTGAGATATACCTCGTGGGCGACTCGGTAACGTCTGACAACCTTCAAAGAAAGGAGAAAACAAAAAGTTGTAGGAGAGGAAAAAAAAATGGATGAAGGTGAAAAATAAAAAGAAAAAAAAGAAGGAAAAAGCAGCAGTGAGAGGCAGGCAGCAAAAAAGCCAGCATATCAGCCAACCTGGTCTACAGTCTGTGGGCAGGGGAGCAGCTGGGAGAGCAGCAGCAGGGGCTTGAGAGTTTGAAGCACATACAGAGCAAGGGAAAGCAAAGGCTTATGGCACTGCAGGGGGCCAGGATGCTCACAGATTGGGGCTGGTGCAGAGGCAGCACTAAGATGTGCAGAAGCTCAGCTCAGCCTCCTGGCTAAGGCTACAAGGGGCAGGGCAGAGAGCCATCTGACTCTGGACACAGGGTTCTAAAGACCGTGGTGCTCTCTCTGGGCCTTTCTGCTCACTTGGACAGTAACTGGACCAGGGTGAATGGAGAACTATATACATTCACACCAAACACCCAGGGCAGTCAGACCACTGGACCAGTCTGGCCCCTGGGCACAGATGGTCAATATCCTCTTTCTTTCTCTTACCTATTTTGGCTCCTTTCTTCAAGAGAGTGACAACAACAGACGTGTTCCTGCAACCCACGGCCCTATCCAAAGGGCGCATCCCACTGTAGTCAACATGCTCAATCATGGCCCCATGATCTACCAGGAACTGGACCTAGGATGGGATTAAGCACAGGAGGTAACAGGTACAATGGATATGGCTTGCTCTTCTTTGAACTGGCTGTCTGAGCCTGGCTATATATGGCATTTCAGGCCATAGCAATATTCTTGGTCTTTAATAGTGTTTTGTATATTTCTGCCCTCTACAATTACAGATCTGAGAACTCTATGTCAGGAATCATCAAAACAATACTTTGCTTTTGGTCCTAGATAGTGTTATTGATGGAGAACATCCCTATCCTCACTCTCCTGAGGCTTGTTTAAAGGTACTCACCACCTCAGCATCGCCATAGAAAGCTGCCAGGTCCAGTGGGGTGCGGCCATTCTTGTCAGCATGGTCTGTAGCAGCTCCATTATCCACCAGAGAACGTACTACTGAGAGATGGCCCTTCAAACAAGCCCAGCTAAGGGCTGTCAACCCTTCTTTGTCCATCAGAGCAATGGAGGCCCCTACAAGAGTAAGTGACAACACCACTGAGGAGATGTAGCACTGCAGCTGAAAGAAGTGCTAATAAGTTATATGCTGCCATTTTTGTTTCTAGATGTTTTCATTCTAAGACTTGACCCTGGCAGGGCATAATGACATACACCAGTAATCCCAGAACTAGAGAGGAGTGAGCAGGATCATGGGTTTGAGTCTAGCCTGGGCTACAAAGTGAGTTCAAGGCCAGCCTGAGCTACATAGGGATATCCTGTCTCAAAACAAACAAACAAACAAACAAACAAACAAACAAACAAACAAGGAGATAAAAACCATGGGCTAGGATATAACTAAGTAGTTAGGAGTGTTTGCTTAGTTAACCTGAGGCCTTGAATTTGATTCTTTGCACTGCAAGAAAAAAAAAAGATTGATTCTGGTGTGTCAAACCTTTTACAGATTTGTTTTTATTATTTAAAAAAATATGAGTATGTGTGTATCTGTCTGTGAGGGTGGGGGCCTTTAGAAGCTAGAGGCATTGGATCTCCCTAAAACTGGAGTTACAGGTAGTTGTGAGTTGCCTGATGCGGATGCTGGGCTTGAACTTGAGTCTTCTGCAAGAGTAGCATAGCATATGCTTTTAACTGCCAAGCCATCTTTCTAGCCCCAAATATCTTAATAAAACTATTAAATATGGTCCTAGAAGTTGCCAACAGAATAGAGTGTAGTTGTTTTTCTGAGTATTCAACATCCTCTACAATCTACCCCTAGGCTGTGTCTCTGTCCTTAAAGTTTATTACTCTCCTGTGAGAATCTTCTACTCTGGCCAATGGCTATGCACACTGCCTCTAGACTCTCCCATGATGCTCCTGTCTCCTCATTTTGGTTGCATGGCTCCTATATATAGAATACTTTTTCTTTCTACACAGTTTGCCTTATTTACACCTATTCTCTAAGATCTATTTCTCCCCACCTCTTTTTTTTTGAAACAGGGTCTTAATATGTAGCTCATGCTGTCCTAGAACTCATTTTATAGCCCAAACTGTCCTCAAACCTGTGATTCTTCTGTCTTAGCTTCCTGAGTGCTAGAATTACAGGAGTATGCCACCATGCTCAGTTTCTAGGAACTATTTCAAATCTTCCTTCAAAAGGCTTTTCCAAGTTCACCATTACTTCATTTCATCTTGAATACGCTTCACATATTGTGATACCTGCTTTGAGGTATCTTACTTCCAAGTAATAAATTCTCAGTGAATGATTCCTGAAGTATTCCATTTATAATAGTATAAACATGCAAGAGTCTCATACAGTGGGAGTATGTGATGTTTACTGTTGACGATGGTGCCAGGACATGTCTTTCTCCCTATGGAGAGAGGAATGTACTCATGGGTGGACCCTGAGCTCAGTTGCAGAGGAAATTCTGAGTTCAATCTAAACAAGTCCCAGAGTAGAATGGGAGCTGCTCCCGTCTTGAGGAAGAGTTGGGAAGATGCTGGTCAAGGGCATGAGTTTTTAGTTACACAGGAAGAGATCAAGAGATCTACTGTATGTGACCATGACTATAGTTAGTAACAATATATTGTAGACTTGAAAATTGCTAACAGAGATTTTAAGCGTTTATTTTACAAGAAAGCATGTGAGGTAATGAATAAGTTAATTAGCTTGATTTAGCTATTCTACAAGGCATTCACACAGGAAAACACTATGTTTTATTTGTCAACCAAAATATCCCCAAATAATTAAAAGAAATTTGGAGCTCACTTAGTCAGCCTTGTTCAGTAACCTTATCCCCATGAGCTTAGTTCCCTTTATGTTCTGCATCTACTTCTGATTAGTATGTTTAGTTTCATCTGAGGATTGAGCATACCTGACATGTAATTTTTAATTATTCTGAAGTACAATATATATTTGGTTCTTAGGTTAGGCTATAAGATTTAAAAAGTTATTTATTTATTTTTTGCCTTTTTGAGAGAGTGCTAGGGTTAAAGGCATGTGCCACATGCCCCCCTTAAAATTTACTTTTATTTTAAATTATGTATGTGCACATGTGTCTGTGTGTGAGTATGTGCATGAGTGTGGGTGCCCCCAGAGGCCAGAAGAGGGTGTTGGATTGCCTCGAGCTGTAGTTACTGGTGGTTGTGAACCATTCAACATGAGCGCTGGGAACCGAACTTGGGTTCTCTGCAAGATCAGTATGTGTTCTTACCTGCTGAGCCATTTTTCCAGCCCCAGGCTACAAGCTTTTTTGCTAGCATGAAGTCCATTTATTCCCTGACAATGGTGAACAGTAGTGCCCAAGACAACTCCTTTCACAAAGAAGGGATCTTTAGTTTTCCTTCATTTTTTTTTGAGACAGGGTCTCCCTGTAGCCCCAGCTGGCCTGGAACTCCCTATGTAGACCAGGCTGGCCTCAATCTCACAGGGATCCACCTGCCTCCACCTCCTGAGTGCTGGGATTAATGGCATGTGCCACCATACCAACATATTTTTTTAAAACTATTTTATCATTTTTATTTTATGTATATGCGTGTATTGCCTAAATGTAGGTAAGTGCACCTGTGTCATGCAATGCCCATGGAGGACAGAAGAGGCTGTCAGATCCCCTGGAACTAGAGTTATGGACAACTGTTAGCTGCCACGTGGGGCTGGGATTCAAACCCGTGTCTTCTGCAAGAACAGCCAGTGTTCTTAACCGCTGAGCCATCTCTCCAGTCCCCCCAACATTTTTTAGAGATTTAATTAATTAATTAATTATGATCCTTTTGAGACGGGGTCTCCCTGAAGCACCAGCTGACTGGAACTAACTGTGTGGACCAGGATGGTCTCAGAATCATAGAGATCCGCCTGCCTCTGCCTCCCGAGTGCTGGGATTAAAGGCATGCGCCAATACACCTGGCCTGAGATTTATTTATTTTTATGTATGTATTTGGTACCATATGCATGCCTGGTACCTGTGTGGGTCAGAAGAAGGTGTCAAATCCCCTGGAACTGGAGTTACAAGCAGTTGTGAGCCTCTTATGTGGATAGTGGGAACAGCAGCCAGTGCTCTTATCTGCTGAGCCATTTCTCCAGTCCCCAAAGATAGCGTCTTACATTTACTAACTAGATTATCGATCAATTTGCTATAACATGGGATGCTTTCCAGGCTGCCTCCTCAGATGGACAGAATTCTGATGTTAGTTTACATGGAAGACCTGTTACATCCAGGCTTGGCCTCTACTCAGCAATTGTCTGGTCTTACACCTTTGTCTCCCTACAGATCAGCAGACTGTGGCTTTCCACAAGAGGAAAAGCTGGAAAGCACCACAACTAATGGTATGGTTTGTAATCAACACACTGACTCTCTTACAGAATAAATCGAAGGCATTTTCTCAGATTCAGTATTTATAAATTTTGTGGACAGAGTCTCCAATGATAGAAAAAGGAGAATAAGAAGATTTCAGAAACCAGAAAGGTGGAATTTAAGAAGTTAAAAGGAGCTGGGCGTGGTGGCAAACACCTTTAATCCCAGCACTCGGGAGGCAGAGGCAGGCAGATCTCTGTGAGTTCAAGGCTAGCCTGGTTGGTCTACATAGTGAGTTCCAGGACAGCTGGGGCTACAGGGAGACCCTGTGTCAAAAAGACCAAAAAAAAAAAAAAAAAGTTAAAAGGATATTGTTGTGAAACAAATCTAAACCCATAGTTCTTAGTAATTCAATCTGCAATCTTCTTTTTCTGTTCTTTCTCATGCAGTTAATAAAATCACCACAGTTCTCATCCATCTAAGTTGTAGTATCTATTTTACAACTTGAGTAATTTCCAACTCTTCGACCCTTGTCCTTATCTCCTACATATAATTTTTATATCCAAAATATTTCTTGCATCTGGCCATTTTCCTCTATTTTGACAGCAACTGCCCCTGTGTCAGGACCTCATTATGTCTCCCTTACTCTATCATGATGGCTTCCTAACTGATATTTGGCACATTCTTTTTCCATCACCAAATTTATTAGTCACATTACTGCCAGAGTGACTTGTTTATTTTGTATTTTTTGGTTGTAAAGTATAACCCTGAACCCAGGCCTGGTGGCACAGACCTGTAATTCTGGTTATATGGGGGAGATGAGAAATGAGGATCACAAGGTCAAGTTCTGTAGAGCTGCAAAGCAAATTTAAGGCCAGCCTGAGCAACTTAGTGAGATTATGTTTTAAACAAAAGCCCCATGCCCAAACCAAACCAAAATACCCCCAAACCCCAAAACCAACAATACCTGGGCTTGGTGACACATATCTGTAATCTCAGCACTTGGGAGGCAGAGGCAGGCGGATCTCTGTGAGATCAAGGCCAGCCTGATCTAAATAATGAGTTCCATGCTAGCTAGGGCTACAGGGAAACCCTGTCTCAAACAAACAGAAGGACAGATAGACAAACATACATATAGATAAACAAACCCAACAACAACAACAACAACAACAACAACAACAACAAAACTAAACAAAATCTAGAAAGAGGACTGGGCCTATAGCTTGGTGGGAGAGTATGTGTAAGACCCTCAATTTAAACCACTGCAAATTGTTATCCCCCCCCCATCTTCATTCCCTGGCAACAATTCCTCTTTTTAAAAATCTTTTCTTTTGCAGTGCTGGGGATCCAATCCAACACTCTTGCATGCTAAGCACACTTGCTACACTGAGCTACATCCATAGGCACCCCTTTTAAACAATTTTTAAAGACTCACCACTTTTTGAGCAGTAATTTCCTGTTTCTTTCCACATATCTTTTCAGTTCTATTTCCTCACATACTTCACTGGACAGTTTGCCTATCTCCCTAGGCCTCTTCTGCCTCACTACTTCTTTCCCTTCCACTGCATTACTGCTGCTCCTAAATCAGAATAATTTCCTACAAACGTCAAAGTCTGAACCAGGCACAGTGGTGCATGACTATAATCCAAGCACTCAGAAGGCAGGGCAGGCAGAGGACTGTGAGTTCCCGGTAAGTCTGGGATACAAAGCAAGACCCTGTCTTTAAAGCCAAACCAAACCAAAAATTCAAAGTCTGTATTATTCTAACTCAATTAACTTTTATGATTCTCTCTCTCCTTTCTCTCTCTCTCTCTCTCTCTCTCTCTCTCTCTCTCTACCCTCTCTCTCTCCCTCTCCCTCTCTCTCTCTCTCTCTCTCTCTCTCTCTCTCTCCTCTCTCTCTCTCTTTTGAGACAGGGTTTCATGTAGTCCAGGCTATGTAGCTGAGGCTAGCCATGAACTTCTGATCTTGGATTACAAGCCTGTGCTACCAAGCCTAGGGGACTCTGTCAGAGTACTTAGCTTCATCTGTTCTTTGTACCATTGGAAGTATAAATGTAAAAAAGTACAGCTTTTTTCCTTTGAGATAGGGTCTCATGCATCCCAGGCTGAGACAGGGTTTCATGTAGTCCAGGCTATGTAGCTGAGGCTAGCCATGAACTTCTGATCTTGGATTACAAGCCTGTGCTACCAAGCCTAGGGGACTCTGTCAGAGTACTTAGCTTCATCTGTTCTTTGTACCATTGGAAGTATAAATGTAAAAAAGTACAGCTTTTTTCCTTTGAGATAGGGTCTCATGCATCCCAGGCTGACCTGAAACTCAGTGTAGTTGAGAATGATCTTGAACTTCTCATCCTCTTGCCTTTCCCTCCTGAGTGCTGGGATTACAGGTATGTGACTATCCAGTTTATGCAGTGTTTGGGACTGAACCCAGGACTTTGTGCATGCTAGGCAAACACTCCGTAAACCGAACATCTCCAGCTCCCAAATGATAGTTTAATTAAAAAATCAAAATCACTTACAATTCCTTTCATAGTGTTCTACAAATAATGTAGGCTAAATAAATACTTATACAATTTGTTGACTTAGTGAAAACTTCTCACTTTTGTGTGAATCAGTCCAAAGACCAGTGGTAAGAGATAACAGATCTCTGGAGTCTGTCTAATGAGCTTCTACTGGCATGTGGCAGACACTGTAGCTAACTAAAGATTATCAGTGCTGATGAGGCCCTTTTCTAGGAACACTTTCTCCTCCTGCCACATCTAATCTTGAAAATCTAGGTACATTCCCTCCCCCTGCTTCTCCCTCCTCTAGCATCAATGAGGATAGATATTATGAAACCATATTTATTTGGTAGCTTGTACTGGGCAGGAAAGAGCCCCACTGTATCTTAGAAGAGCAACCTCTGATTCTAACCATCCTTGAATTTGAGGTTGTGGAAACAAATATCCCTTGAAGGACACAGCTAAAGATCCAGTAAGTCTCTTAGGAAGTCCTAGCCTTCTTAATTCAACTATTCTCAGCTTCAAAAAGGCCTGGCACAATTCTTCAGGAGGCTAGTTTCCTCGATGGAAAGTGCATATGCTTCTGGATACAATTATAGATACTGAAGTCTCGTTTGCTAACAGTGGAGGCCGATAGGAATGATAGTATGCTTTTAGTCACCTCATTACTCCCTGCTTCATGCAAATGCTCAGGCTCCACTAGATGGTGCTGTGCAATCACCAGTGACTTTCAGGGCGGTTTTTGACTGTATCCATTCACAGGGGACTAGGTTACAGCAATCAGCAGGAGCCTGAAATGCTTCACCACTGTGTACCTATAGGGAAAGGTACATCACCCTCATACGGGACCACCCTTAAAAACTTATTTCCAGACGGGCATGGTGGCACATGCCTTTAATCCCAGCACTTGGGAGGCAGAGGCAGGCAGATCTCTGTGAGTTCAAGGCCAGCCTGGTCTACATAATGAGTTCCAGGACAGCTGGGGCTACAGGGAGACCCTGTCTCAAAAAGACAAACAAAACAAAACAAAACAAAAAAAGCCCAACTTATTTCCCATTCACCAAAGATCTGAGGATGTTGGTGTCACAAGGAATTTATTGTAATAGCTTAATAGTAATATCCTGATTCTCTCTCAGTCCCATTGCTAGCAAATGTCTTAACTTCCTTTACTTCCTTTGGATTCAAGAAAAATATTAGTTGTGCAGGCTTACAAAAGAATTGCTAGGGTTAAGGAAAAAATATAATATCTAAAATAGATGAATATTTATTGAGTATATATTACAAAAAAATCAGTGTTTGGAGATTATTGATTTGAAAGAAAGAGTTCAGACTGTGTTAATTTCATAACAATCCTTTAGGCCATAAAGAAACAGAGAATGTCAGAATTAGGAGAGTTCTGCAGCATAGTAGATGACAGTTGGGTGTGGTGGTGCAGGCTCATAATCTCGGCTCTCTAGGAGTTGAGACTCACCTGGAGTTTGAGGCCAGCCTGGGTTACCCAGCGATAAAGTGATGAAAATCTCTCTCTCTCTCTCTCTCTCTCTCTCTCTCTCTCTCTCTCTCTCTCTTTCCTGTCCTCCCTTCCTTCCAACTCAGTTGTGTGGTTCTCAAACATTAACATTGTAGGTGAAAGCAAGGTGATGGAGGAAGGATACTGTGAATCAAGGCCAGTCTGGAAACTCATTAAAAACAAACAAACAAACACAGAAAAAAAAGAGGGCAGCTACTGGCTTTTCATTTCCTAATCAACTGGATTAATAAATAATACCATTCTTTTTTCTTTTTTTTTTTTTTGTCTTTTTGAGACAGGGTCTCTCTGTAGCTCCAGCTGGCCTGTAACTCGCTATATAGACCAGGCTGGCCTCAAACTCACAAAGATCCTCCTGCCTCTTTATCCCAAGTGCTGGGATTAAAGGTGTGTGCTACCACACCCGACTAATAATATCATTCTTAATATGTCCTGAAATCTATGCTGAAAGCCAGGAGTTCAGTGGGTTATTACAGACTTTAACTACTCAGTTCTGGAATCCCAGAACTTACCTTGTGCAAGTAGAAAGTCCACGGTTCCTAGATGGCCTTCAGAAGCGGCCATCATCAGTGGAGTACGACCCTGCTTGTCTGCCATGTTGACATCAGCTCCATGGGTGAGTAGAAGATCAACAATCTACAAGTGCAGAGAAATAGGGACCAATTATGCCAAGAGTTGTTGAGGTGCTGCATACATTTGGTCTCCTGTACTGTGAAAACTACTTTCTGCTGTAAAGATGAGTCCACCTGTTAAGTAGCTACTTACAAGTGTTTGTACTGTCCTAACATGTGGTTCAATCTCTTAACTCCCTCAGGGATAGGCAAATGAGGTGACTGAGACACTAGTTTTTTTTTTTTTTTTTTAAGATAACAAGTCAAGATGTAGTGTAAACCACTCTGTAATGGAGGCTCCAGCTCAAGTCACTAACCTATGTCAGTTCCTTTTTAGTAATCTCTAGGGGCTGCAAGTATGCAGCAACAGTAAACACTGACTACTGACCTGACTACAATAAAGTGTTTCTGATAACAAAAGTGCCTTCTGTTGGCTTTAGTCTTTTTTTTTCTCACGTACTTCCAGAGTTCATTATTAGTATGTTTTTTTTTTTCATCCTACCTAAGAGTTTAAATTTTTGTAGAATCCAAACCTCTGGAAAGATCATATAATCAGAGTCTGCATATAGTGTATTTTATTTGGCAAGTCTGAAATCTGCAAGTAAGTGGGTAGCAGGGATCTGAGACAGGACTTGGAAGTGACCTGGTAGATACTGTGACATGTGAGAAGGGAGGTCACACCATGCCCAGGGCAAGTCAATCTAGATCACAGTGGTTTTTATGTTAGCCTTTTATCACTTTCTCAATTAAGCAGAATGTTAGTAACAACCCCAAAAGCATGAGGACTGCTGAGAAACTCAACAGTTGTGACTTCTTTTCTTTGCATCTGAAATTTCCACCTAGAACTCATTCTTACCTGAGGGGCTGGACGTGGCTACCCTACTTACCTGCCAATGGCCCTGGCGGACAGTGCTGAATAGGGGCACTGCTCCTCGGCGGTTTGGTTGGGCCACTGCTGCACCTTGTTCCAAAAGCAGACGGCACACCTCCAGTTTGCCCTTTCCGGCTGCAGCAGTCAGGGCTAAAGGCAGAGAATAAAGACTGAGGATAGTGGGTTCTTTTCTAATCTTCAGTGTTAAATGTGGCATTAATGTGCTTCCAAATGGTTTTCTTATGCAAACACAGTAAATTACTGTGTTTGATTAATGTACTTACTAGCTTACCTTCATGAATAATGATTTTAGCTGCTTTTTTTCCAAGAAGAATTGTTTTTAATGAAAAACAATGAACAAAAACACTTAGACGGGCTCACAATATACGCAGAACAATCATAATAATAAATGTACTGGCAATTCTCTTTGGTCATGCTCTCTCGGTTTCATTTCATACCCAGACTGCCTTCTCTGCTACTGCTTGCCCCTCTCTAAGGTCCCTGACCAGTTATACTCCTCCTGCTGCTCTAAGTATGGGTGGAATCTAGAGAGAAGATGTGCAGAGAAAACCAACAGGACAAAGTCTTGGTCAACCTCTTCTCTGTGCTCACAAATCTAAAATATTAAGAGCAGGAATGGGAATTTAAGGCCTGGGACAAACTTTTATTGTTTTTTTCTTTAAATTTTCTTAGTTGAGATCTAAGGTTAAAAAAAAAAAGATTTATAAGCATTTGTATATGAGGGCCAGAACTGGTCAAGGTAATATGGTCTTAAAGAGAGAAAACAGGTGTGAAAAAAGACAACTTTTTTTCTGTTTTTTTGTCGGGGGCGGGGCACAAGGTCTCACATAGCTCAGCTTGGCCTCAAACTAACCTTGTGGCTGAGGATGACCTTGAATGCCTGATCTTCCTGCTTCTATTCCCCAAGTGCAGAGATTACAGGTATGCACCACTACTACAGGCTTTCTTCTTCAAATATAAAATAATGGAGTCACGGATGTAAAAGAAAGTTATAGTGGATATAAAAGATATGGGAGGAAGAGATTAAGGATTCTTTTTATGCTACTGTGCATTACTTGTGGTCTTTGGCATAGTGGAGATCCTCTGAGTGTCTATTTCATCCTCAGTGTACTGTTTCAATAGTAGGAAGAAGAATTTGGAGCTACAAAGTTCACCTTGTACAGACAGACATTTATTTAATCATGGGATTTAAAATGCACAGGTTTGCTTATTTATTTTTTGGAGGCAGGGTCTCCATATGTACACTGGGCTGGCCTTGAACTAACATTACTCCTGTCTCAGCCTCTCCAGTGTGAAATTACCTAGCTGAAATCTGCTGTTTTCTTTTTCTTTTTTTTCAAATCTGAGTGTGGTGTTTGTGTGTGTATATGTTCATGTGTTCTCGTATTAGTGGAGGCCAGAGGGTGACACTGGGTGTCTTCCTCAGTCTTTTTCCTCTTGAGCTTTTTGAGACAGGGTCTCTCACTGAAACTGGAGCTTGCTGATTCAGCTAATCTGCCTGTCTCTGTTCCCCGAGTGCTGGGATTACAGATGTATGCCATCGTGCCCAACTTTGTACGTGGGTGTTGAGGGTGTGAACTCATGTCCCATGCTTGTGTGACAACACTTCACCAACTGAGCCATCTCCTTAGACCTTAACTTATTGTTTTAAAGACTGGATAAAAGGTAGGGAGGATGGAAAACAGAGAAGATATTAGGAGTTAGTTATACTTCATTAAACTTTTTTTTGATTTGTTTATTTTTATTTTATGAGTGTTTTGCCTGCATGTATGTAGGTGCACCCGTATCTTATAATGCCTGTGAAGGCCAGAAGAGGGTGTCAGATCTCCCGGAACTGGAGTTATGGAGTTGTAACAACTGGAGCTGTAAGCCACCACATGAGTGCTGGGAAGTAAACCCGGGTCCTCTGCAAGGTCAATGCTCTTAACTGCTGAGCCATCTCTCCAGCCCTTGTGCTTCATTTTAAAGAAAGAGAATAGATTATTTCCCCACTCCCCAAATGGAAAGGTGATGTGGTAGACAGCAGAGCCTTCTCTTATTATTATAGCCATCTATGCCAACGAAAAATCAAAAAACAGTATTTGGAGGGTTCAGATATTTTAGTTTTCAAATGTTGGACTCTAATCAAGAAGTTACTGAAATTCAAAGCAAATGTCACATATATATTTTCATTTAAGTATAAATTATGGCATTTTGTCTTTGGGTTTGGCTTAATTGATCTGTAAATGGGCCATATGCAAAATTAAAATTCTCTGTAATTTTCACAAAAATAGTTTAAAGTAAATTTTCTCTTTCCTTAGGGAAATAAAATGGGCTTATGAGGGAAAATATGGCAACTTTTGAAGGTATAAGCACTCTTTTTATTTTGGAACGTGACATTGGCTTTTCTGTCAGTTCCTCACAGGAGGGCAAGTGTTCATCCTCTCTGAGGGTACAGACATTTTTCAGCTCTGAATGAACAAAGGTAGGTGTTAATGGCTGTAATCATTTACTTTGACAAAGAAGTTTTTAAAAAAATTTTATTTATCATTTTTATGTGTATGTGTGTGTGTATTGCCTGCATGTAGGTAAGTGCACCCGTGTCGTTCAATGCCCATGGAGGTCAGAAGAGGCTGTTGGATCCTCTGGGATTGGAGTTATGGACAGTTGTTAGCTGCCATGTGGGTGCTGGGATTCAAACCTGGGTCTTCTGCAAGAACAACCAGTGTTCTTAACTGCTGAGCCATCTCTCCAGCCCCAACAAAGAAGTTTTATCTCTGGTTCTATGTCCTTTCTTTTGCTATTATTTTTGGATTTTGGTCTTTTGAGACAAGGACTCTCTGTAGTCCCAGCTGGTTTGGCACATGTAGACCAGGCTGGCCTTGATCTCATAGTGATCTGCCTGCCTCTGCCTCCTGAATGCTGGAACTAAAGGTGTGTACTATCATACCCAGCTGATTCTATGTCTTAAGTTCATATTGTCAGCAGTTTAAAACAGTTGTTGGTTTTACTTAGGCATCAGAGCACAAGAGAGTTGAGAACTTGACTCTGACAGACTTGCTTTGAGTATCTTAAGAATCATCTTGGTGTTTCAAGTAGACCACTTGGAAAGTTTCTAACCTCCATATTCTGATTCCATTTAAAGTAACCAATAAATGATAGGGTTATGGCAAGCCTCCCAATGTGTGCAGGCCAAGAATTTTTTTTTTTAAAGCTGATAGCACTATGGAGAAAACAGACTAATATTTCAGATACAAGCCTCTTACTAATGATGCTGGTCCATGGAACAAATTATTCACAGATAGTGATTGCCTGGAAAGTTACACAATTATATTACCCTGGTTGGTCTATTTCTCTCTGCTGAATAACGCATTTTTATGAGAGGGAAATGTTCCATTTGGCCCTTTTTTGTTGTATAATCTCTGTTGCTTGGGTTATGATGTCATTTGGCAGCAACCTTCAGATGATAGCTAGACATGGTCATTAACACAGCTGGTGAATTTCATCTCAAAACAATGTTAACTATGTAGAATGGAGTCTGGCCTCAAAATCCACGAGGAAGGGGTTGCTTTGGCTAGATTTTATGAGTCTTATCAAAAACTGTTAAGAGTTTTTGAAAGAAAGGCGATTAAATGGTAAAGCCATATCTATAAAACAACAAACTGATTCTTAGAGCAAGCATAGTAGTTAGGAGCAGAATCTCTTTCTAAGAGACCAGAACCATAATTTGCTCTGTAGCTTGTCAGCATCTGATGAGAGTAGTTGACATCATTTTTTTTCCAAAGGGAAACATGTAAGGAGTCTGAAGAGGCAGTCAGGATGCAGCTCAGAGATGAAGAAATAGCCAAAGTTTGCTTGGATGGGATGCTGACATTAAACAGAATGCAGAAAAGCAAATGATTTGTTTTATCTATTTTCAATCTTGAAAGAGTACAACATGTAAGATCAATGGGGGAAGGTGGTTTGGGAGACATAAACTGATTATGAACCCAAAACATTAATTAAACATTTATAGAGCTATTGGTCAAATGCTGTCTGATCTCAATGAACTCATGGTCAAATAAGGAAGACAGATAAATACATTACAGTGTGATGAGCACAACAGAGATATGCCATGGTATGGAGGTGACACAGAAGTATCCAGAAGGCCTCCCAGGAGAGGGTCATCTGGGTTACATGACGAGAGATGAATAGGAGACTTATGGTGTACAAGGAAAAGAAGGCATTCTAGGGAAAGGCACGTATAAAGGACAAGGTGGGAAACAACTTGTTTATAGCTGGAATTACCAGAGAAGACAAGCAATAGAAGAGTCTGGAGATCATGACTGTTGTTATGCTACATTGAAGAACTTAATTCTACAAGTAGTAAAAGGTCAGCAAGTAGGAAAGCGACAGACGATGACTTAAAAGGTTCTTCTCTGGCTATATCCTGGAACATGACTCACAAGATAGCAGATAAAGTAAGGAAGACCAGCTCACAGGGAGCTGCAATAATCTGGCAAAAGATGATAAAGGCGGGAACAGTGGGAAACTGTTTTGTGAACTCTGCCTCTACAGCTGCTAGGAGCTCCCAGAGCTGGTCCTAGTCTGCCTGTATAGAAACAGGAAGGGACAATACTGCCACCTTACTGCTTCTCTTGTGTTGTTTGTGTTGTTCCTAAGAAGACTGTGACAATCACGTGGAATGGGAGGGGGCAAAATTTTTGCTTCTGTAGTGGCATAAAAAATAATGGTTATATAGTTTCTCTTTGTTAGTGGAGTCTTGACTTGATATAGCCAGCCAGCTGGTGAAAGCCAGATGTAAGAAGATGATGTCTGGAGGGCAAAAGAGACTGCCAAAGGAAGGCAAACACACCCAGGTTTATTCTCATGATCTGTTCGTAGGAAACAAGATATGCAAAAAATATATCATGTCACTATTTTATCATGTGTTTCACCGATTTTAATACTCACTGCCCCCTCTATCTTAACATCTCTGGAACTGGGGTGTATCTTATGATAGTGCAAGTGGCAAAAACTTCTTTGCTGTGGCATAAAAATGGTCATATAGTTTCTTCTTGTTAGCAGTGTCTTGACTTTGGTAGAGTTAAGTGATATAGACTGTTGTAAAATTATGACCATTGTATTTTTCCTAGGTAAATTTTTTGTCATGTAGGTCAGGGTTGCGTATATAAGACCTCTACTGGCTCATACAAGAAAATTCAATGGGTCATCATAAATTTTATATTATGTGCTATAGTTAAAAGGAACATGCATACTTAGTACACATTACTGCAGGTAAAGAAGCCAAGTCCAGCTGGAGAGATGGCTCAGCAATTAAGAGCACTGGCTGCTCTTACGGAAGACTGGGGTTTGGATTCCAGCACCCATATGGTGGCTAACAACAGTCCATAACTCTAAGTTCCAGGGGATCCAACACCCTCTTCTGACCTCTGTGGGCACTGCATGCATGCATATAGTACAGTTACATACATGTAGGCAAAATACTCATAACATAAACTAAATAATAAATTTAAAAGATAAAAAAGAAGTCCATACTATACTAGTGGTAAGTTTTAGGGTCATTTTCACACAGCAAAGACAGCAGTCTTTTCCAAAAGTCTTTCTGAAGTCAGATAAATTTTTTTGTCTTGTTTTAAGACAGAGTCTTGCTCTGTAGCTGTGGCTGGTCTAGAACTTGCTATATAGAGCAAGCTGGCCTTGAACTTGCAATAATCCTCCTGCATCTGCCTCCCCAGTGCCGGGATTACAGGTGGATGCAACCATACCTTGCTTTAAGTAACTTTTTTTTATAGATCCAGAAATTATATTTTGTTCCAACGTATATTTAAAAATTTATTTTTAATAGTAAATCATTGTATCTAAATAACAAATTAAATATAACACAATTTTGGCTATAAACAAACTGACATGAAGTTTTGATTTTTAAAATTTTGAGCTGGTACATGTATATGAAAATAAGAATTCATATGCTTTAAAATATGAAATCTTTTAAGACCCTGAGACCATGTTTTTTAATGTTTAATTAATTAAATATTTTGGTGTGTGTGTGTGTGTGTGTGTGTGTGTGTGTGTGTGTGTGTGTATGTGTGCTATGGCGAGCATGTAGATGTCAAAGAACAACTTGGGGAGTTGGTTTTCTCCTTCTACCATGTGATTGGATTTAGGTCAAGCACCTTTACCCACTGAGCCATCTTGCCAGATATGGTTCATACCCTTTTTGAACCTTGCTAAGGATTTCTTTTGAGTATATCATTAGAATGCTTGCTATTCAATACTATGATTATAGGCCTTATAATTTCCACCCATGATCACCACCGGGCCATGACTTCCTTGGCCACTCTCAGTGGCTACTCACACTTCCATGCCCTTGGTCTACTGGGAAGAGGTCTACTGGGAAGTACAGCAACACTGTATTGGGAAAGTTTTGCAGACAGGAGAGGTAAACCAACATGTTCCTTTGGCAGTCCCATATGGAGAATCCAGAACTGCTAATGTCCTGGCTAGTCCCTTCTCCTCAGCCTGCCCTCTGACTTCTGGGGTTCCAGAGACAGCAGCTGCTTCCAACTGCACATTTTCCTTTAATCTGTCACGGGCTCTTAAGCTGCAGCTGCCTGGCATCTGCTCCTTTTGGTTCTTAGAGGAAGGAATTATTTGAGAAACAAATTCCTGAGCTCTGGACCATTATACATGCTAAAGAAGTCATGAAACCTATACAAAATTTCATCATGGGAAGAAAGAAAAACAATTTGACGAGTTGTAAATTTTAGATGCATTCAAAACTCTCTGATGTTTAACAGTATTCTGACCTTTACCAAAATGCAAACTCTTCTTGTTTAGTGAAATATTTTCCCCAAATTTGCCATCTCAACACCAGTCTATTTCTCCTGGCAAATATGACACATATCTTTGTTTTTTTTCTACCGTTTTCCCTTCCCCAGTAAAGACACATCAAAGGTTATTAGTGTTCCTCCAGATGCTCTAGTTCAGACTTGAAGGAAGCATAACAGTCATTTCATTTCCTGCACCTATCACAGGGAAGAGGCTTCCGTTGGTGAAGCAAGGTCCAAATGATACAGAAAATGCTCTGCTACAGATCCAGAGGAACTGTATCAGGTCAGACCTTAGAGTGGTGTTGTCAGATGTGAAGCTCAGTTGTGTTGGATAACCATAACAACATTTGGTGAAGCCAGAGACGTGGGTGAAAGTCATGTCTTCTGGTTACAACTACAGGTTGGAATGCTATTTTGGGAGCAAGGAAAGGAAAAGGAAGTACAAGGATCATGTAGATGAAGGAGAGGCCTTTAATTCCAGCACTCGGGAGGCAGAGGCTGGTGAATCCCTGAGTTTGAGGCCAGCCTGGTCTACATAGTGAGTTCTATGCCAGCTGGGGTCTACAAGGAGACCCTGTCTTCAAAAAAAAAAGCCACAGTATTTCCTGCTTTGGTTTGCCACATTGGTTTTTTTTTTTTTTGTCTTTTTGTTGATTGTTATTTTGACAGGGTCTCCCTAGTCACAGCCCACCTAGAAATCACAGTGTGAACCAGGTTGTCCTCAATCTCACAGAGATCCACCTGCCTCTGCTTCCTGAGGGCTGGGTACACCCCACCACGCCTGGTGTGACAGTTTCAGTGTTTGAAACATATGTGGAAACAAGAGTTGTGAAGGTTTCTGAAAGTGCTAATGGTGGAGAATCTAAAGGGAAAGGGGCTGAAAGTGGGAAATGGCCTGATTTTTTGGTGGGTGGAATTGGTCACAAAGTCTTAAGACAGAAGAGTGTTAGAGTATGCCAGACTAAAAATAAAAGTATGAGACACAGTCTAAGTACAACATATGAGAGAGAGAGAGAGAGAGAGAGAGAGAGAGAGAGAGAGAGAAATGTCCAAGAGAAGTACCTGTCTCTCCCCAGAGACTGTCAAAACTGTTAATCTGTGCTCGCTCCACTTCCTCTTCATCTTTTTCTGGAAGATCAAGTAGGTAGGAGACAATCTGAAACAAGAAGCTGTGTCAGTTCAAACTGCACGTGGAAAGTTATGCTACTTACTGACATGAACCTGAAAGGTTCGGGAAACCAGTACCCAAGCATCACTAAATCTCTTACCTACAAAAGGAATCAGTACATAGTACCTTAACAAAGAAACCCCAAACTGCTTTGATGAAACTTGTCTTACCAAATACAGTTCACATGCTTCCTTTAAACATAACATATATCATATGATTTGAAAATTATATATTCCTCCTATTTAAGCCTACGGAAGAATCTCTTATCCTTCCAATAAGAAAATAGGAAATAAATATGGGGAAAATTGAGGCCTGTATCTCTTTAGTGCAGAGTGATTGTCATCATTTTTCCTCTCAGAAGAATAAGGACTATCTGGGTTTTAGTAAAAGGAGAATGGCTGCAAAGCACAGACAAAATGACAGCTGTTTCCAGGAATTTGATTGTTCTGAGAGTTAAACACTTTCCATAGACAATACAAACTTCAATTTTGTTTCCCATTTCCTTGGTGACATCATGCCAATTGAGAGAAGTGGTGTCCTACTGGAGTGTCTCACATAGTGAGATGGGCCAGTTCACAGCAGCCCATGGGAGCTGATTCTTAAATTTTCAGAAATGTTTACAAGCTGATTGTTAAACAAAGTCAGTAATTTATTAAAAATTTAATAGCAGTTAAATTAAATACATTAAAATAAAGATAAAAATACTTAAACTCAGGCTGGAGATGCAGCTTACTGATAAAGAGCTTACCTAGAATATGTGAACTCTGGGTTTGATTGTAACACTACAAAAAACAAAGCGAGAAAAAACAAACAAACCCCCCCTCAAATCTCAAAAAAATCTGAAAACTACATTCTATTGTTATCTATGATACAGAGATTATTTATATCTATTGTGTCTGTATGGTTGAAGTATTACATCATGGTATTCGACTGCGCATTTCTTCCCACCTCTTGTGCTCAGCCATGTGACATGACAGCTTGAAGTCAGCCATGGTGGGCATGGTGGGAGTGTTTACAGACATTACAGATCAAGGTTTAGTTTAGAGATAAAACTGAAAGGTGTTTCAGTTTAATGAGTAGAATTTATATAATGAGGAAAATAGTTTAACAGTAGAGTAAATATAAGATTTAATGGCAGTAAAATTATTGGGAAAAGAGTAAACTGGATGCAACTCCATTTGTCAAATCATAATTAGGATGCAACTACAGGTTAGCTACTGATTCAAACATGGCAAAAATAAACATTCAATTAAGAGTACTGCCTGTAGCCGGGCGTGGTGCGCATGCCTTTAATCCTAGCAGAGGCAGGTGGATCTCTGAGTTCAATGCCAGCCTGGTCTACATAGTGAGTTCCAGGACAGCTGGGGCTACAGGGAGACCCTGTCTTAAAAAAGACCAAAGGAAAAAAAAGAGTACTGCCTGTTTAATTATTTAATTACTGTATAACCCATTCTTTGGATCGGTAAAATTTACAATAAACCTAAGTATGTATGAACCTGCCCCTGGCTGCACTCCTCTCTTTCCTCACCATCAGTTATTTAACATTTCATAACATACTATCAATTCCATGTATTTGCCACAATTATTAATAAGATAGCAAAATGCCATTTCTGTGGTGTTTAATTACTTACAAAGCATCCTTCACAGCAACCTTGTAAAAAAAAGAATTTAGTCGCTTCATCTTATGGATGAAAAACTAAGACATTAGGGAAGGTCTGGGACCAAAACCTGATCCTTCTGAGGTTCTAAGTGTTGTGTTCTTGTTCCACACGGTCAGACACTGATCACAGGGCAGTACCCATCTGTGGCTTCGTGTCATATAGCTTGCTAAAGAGGGGAGAAATAGGGGAGGAGTTGTGTAAGATAATTTCCAAGCTCCTTTTTGACTTTTAAGTGTGTTCCATGCACATAATTCTAGGTACCTTGGTATCTGAGTAGCCAAGTGCCTGAGTTTAACCCCCTTATACTTCAGAGTAGTGATAAAAATTCACACTAATTTGGTTGACAATTTCATAACACGCAGGACTTTTTTCCTCCAGGTTCCTGACTCTTCAATATGCAACTCCTATCATATTCTTCTTACCTCAGTGTAACCCATGCTGGCTGCAGCAATGAGGGCCTGCTGGATGGCATGGCTCTTCTTGAACACTCCTTGTTGTTGGCCAGCCATTGTCCAGTCACACTGAATCAGAAACTTGACAACCTCTAGATGACCTCGCAGAGCAGCATGAACCAAAGCACACTGCCCATTCTTATCCAAGTGGTCTACCTAAGGGAAGAGAACAGAAAGATGAGTGTGAACAGATCTAGACAACTGAGCTCCCTCTTTCCCTACTCTGTGAGCTGATGTTGAAGCAAATTTACAAAATACTTTTGGGGGCTGAAGAGATGGCTCAGTTGTTAAGAGCACTGGCTGCTCTTGCAGAGGACCTGGGTTCAATTCCCAGCACCCACATGGTGGCTAACAACTGTCTGTAACTCTAGTTCCAGGGGATCCAATACCCTCTTCTGATCTCTATGGGCATTGCATGACACAGGTGCACTTACATATATGTAGGCAATATAGTCATACACATAAAATAAAAATAAAATACTTTCTACTCAGGCTAGATTACTACTGGACTCTTAACTCTCCCGGAGGTCTGTTTGGGGAGAATTTCTTTTCCCCAGAAAAGGAGGTAAGGTTTTTGTTTTCACATTAAACAAAACCCTCAGGTAAAGCTGAGGTACTTCTTTGTCCTCTAATAGTTCTTTTCAGATCAAGATTTGAGCGATTTGGCCTGAAGAGATGGCTCAGTGATGAAGCGCACTGGCTGTTCTTGCAGAGGACCTAGGTGTGGTTCCCAGCACTCACACAGCAACTCACAAGCATCTGAAACTCCAGTTCTAGGGGATCTAATCCCTCTTCTGGCCTCCATGAGCATTACATGTATGGGTGCACTTATATCCACGCAAGCAATATGTATACTCAATACACATAAAATCAAAATATATTTAAAAAAAGATTTGAAAGATTTACAGCTTTGTTGGCTCAAAAAATGTCTTTGGAATCATGTCTTTTGAATCACTCATTTGACTACCTAGCTTTGGCAGAAAGCTTTTCTCTCTTCCAGGGGGAGGGTAAAATGTCAAAAATCTGGTCTAAATGGCTAGAGGCACTTGGAGCTTAATGGCTAGACTAAGCTCCAAAGCAGTTTTTGTAATTTCAGTGGTGGTTACAAGTTTAGGCTGAGAGAAAAGGTTGATTAAGATCAATCTACCAGAAGGTTCTTAGAAGTCTCTAGCTGGAATGTGGCTGTCTGTCTAGGATAGTCAGAATATTTAAGATCCAGGTTTTGTTTTGATTCTCCCACAGACTTTGGTTCTACCTAGTGACCCACATGACAAACTTTACTGAATGTGAGTGTGTGCAAGGCACCATATGGGATAAAAAGGTATGATAGTACTAAATTCTGCTTGCAAGGATTTTCAAACAAGGTAGGGAGAAGTGTGACTAAGTCTGTCCAAAAATGGAGTGCATAACTAATGAAATAAGGAATATAAAAGTATAAAAATTACTAATTTTTTGTGTGTGGTGTATGCACATGTGTATGCAGGTGCGCACCCGTGCATGCAGTTGGAGCCAGAGGTCAATGCTGGATGTCTTCCTTAGTTTCTCTCCACCTTATTTTTTGAGACAGGGTCTCTCACTGAATCTAGAGCTTGGATGACTGGCCAGAGAGCCACTGGGATTCACCTGTCTCTGTCCCCCAAGTGCTGGGGCTAACAACCATCTGTAACTCCAGTTTCAGGTGATCTAACACCCTCTTCTGACTTATATAGGCATTGTATGGTACTGGTGCACTTACGCACATGCAGGCAATACACTCATATGCATAAAATAAAAGTAATAAAATATTAAAAAAAGAACCACTCAAATGTAAGTAAAAGAACTAGAATCCAACTGTCTTTGATGTCAAAGCCTATGACTTTAATGTTCAAGAGAGTATGAGGATGGAGAGCCCAGAAGGCAGGATCTCAGTGAAGCTGCATTAGAAGGAGAGTATAATGTGAATGGAGGAACCAGACAGGTGGGAGAGCTCCAACACCAGCAGCTCAATGACAGGGCTCAGGGGTGGGAGTGGGAGGAGTTGGGCATTAGTGACTGGCAGTAGTTAGCTACCAGAGAAGCTTAGCTGAGTGCTGGAAGGTTGGAGTGTTTCTCTCTCTCTCTCTCTCTCTCTCTCTCTCTCTCTCTCTCTCTCTCTCTCCCTGCTGACCTCCTTGTGGAACATCATCATTTATTAGGCATTGTATGAGATTTAAAGAGATTAAAAGAGACTACCTCTTGAAATGCTTTATCTCTTCAATTCCATACTTTATTAATCCTTTTTATAGATGAAAAAGTGAGCGTGAGGGAGGATAGATAGTGTAAGACAGCATAGATAGTATGTCCAAGTCCTCATAGGAAGTAAGAGTGGATTCGGTTATGGACTTAATACAATTGTTTGACTCTAAAGCTTATGATTTTAATAACCTACCTTCTTTACACTCATGGAAGCTGGACTGCAAGCAGGTAATGAGTAGTGAGGAAGAAGAGGCACCTTAAAGGACAGGTTTGATGCACATGGAAGGGAAGAGATGGGATGTAGCCTCTGGTTAGCAGGACAGAGGAGTTTCTTTTGTAAGTTAGGGGAGACATTTGCATGTTTGTAGATATTGAGGGAAAAAGGTAATAAAAATTAAGAAAAGGAAGGAAATAACATGTGAGAGAAAGAGCAACATGCCAGGATGGCGAGCACAAGCTGAGGCAGATGCTTCGAAAGGAAAGTAAACATTCCTTGTCAGGCAAGTGTAGGAAGACTAATAAAGTTCTGTGGTAGACATTCACTGGATAAACTCAACCTTGCTTTTCTTTCTTTTTTGAATTGAGGGCCTTCTATAGCCCAGACTGACCTTGAACTTGTGATCCTTTTGCCTCATCCTCCCAAGTCCTAGGATGTATGCCACCATACCTGGCTTTCAGCTTAATGTTACTAATACAGAAGGCAGAAGAGATCTAACAGGAGTTTGAGGAGAACATAGACATGTATGTATCTGCTCTGGGGAAACAATGAAAGATGAACAAAACAATGGTGTGGATATAAGGGGTAAGCAGCATCAAGGACCCAGCTGAGACATAAATTTACATCAAGAGGAATATTCCCTTTCTACAAGTGTCCATTCAAACAAACAGGGTATTGTTACAGGGGGCAATCTATGTCACAGCAAACATTTAAAGCTTCTCTGTGAATTCTCAGGTTCCCTGGATGAGAGCAACAAACACTTCAAAATGAGGACATACACATAACTTCTGTTTTACTGTGAAACCACTAGAATTCTTAGTTTTTAGGACTGAATCAAAATGCCATGAGGTCACAGTGTTTCTGTGGCCTATATTTGTGAAACCAGTGGCTTTTCTTTTCACTGATATTTTGAAATTGAGTTCTTCTATACCAGTGGTTCTGAAAATACCACAAAGAAAGCATGTTGGGGGCTGGGGAGATGGCTCGGTGGGTAAAAGTGTTTGCCTATAAGCCCAAGGACCTGAGTTTGAGTTCCCAGCATACACATAAAAGCCAGGGAGAGCTGTGTGCCTATAACCTTAGCATTAGGGGATAGGGACAGGTAGATCCTGGAAACTCATTGGCCAGCCAGCCTAGCTGAGAATGGGAGAGACCTGGTTTAAAGGCAATGAGGTGGAGCATGATAAGATACCAGGCATCCTGTTTTGGTCTCCACATGAGTACACACGTGTGTGTGTGTGTGTGTGTGTGTGTGTGTGTGTGTGTGTATACATTCATATGCATGTACTTCCCTACACTGCACAAAAAGAAAGCAAACATTTTAGAGATGTTTTCAGGGAGCTGGAATGTGCCAACAAACACTCTGAGGTGCCCTTGGCCAGTCTGAGTACATCTTTCCCCCCAAATCTCTATGATGGTGGTCTTAAAGGATAGGAGGAAAGGATTTAGCTTCTGTCTCATCTCCACAGCTAGGGTCTCTTGCCTATATGTGAAGGCCTTAGTGCCTGCAGGTGCTGCTCAATTCAGACCTCCACTGCAGTCTCCTTACCCCTTGCTTTTCCTTTAGCTTTTTAAAAAAATTTTTATTTATTATTTTTATTTTATGTGCCTGTGTGTATTGCCTACATATAAGTAGTGCAATGCCTGTGGAGGTCAGAAGAGACTGTCGGATCCCCTGGGACTGGAGTTATGGACTGTTGTTAACTGCCACGTGGGTGATGGGATTCAAACTCAGATCTTCTGCAAGAACAACCTGTGTTCTTAACTGCTGAGCCAGATTTCCAGCCCACCAAAACCCATCTTTTTGTTGTCTGCAAGAAACTCATCTCACTTTCAAGGACAGACACTATCTTAAGGATACCCCAGAGAGAGAGAGCCCTGCCAGTCGGAGAGAGGTCTGCGGGTTGGAGAGAGGCCTGCCGGTCATGCAGGCCCAGGGAAGCACAGGGCTATTATTTTTATTTGATGTGTATGCATGTATTGCCTTCATGTAGGTAAGTACACCTGTGTTATGCAATGCCTACAGAGGACAGAAGAGGCTGTCAAATCTCTTGGAACTGGAGTTAGGACAGTTGTTAGCTGCCATGTGGGTGCTGGGATTTGAACCCAGGTCTTCTGCAAAAACAACCAGTGTTCTTAACCGCTGAGCCATCTCTTCAGCCCCACTTTGGCTTTTTGTTGGAAAGAGGTTTCTTCTATGCTTACAGATAGTTTCTGGGTTGGTTAGATAGGGACTTTTCGTGGTTACTGATAAATGCTATTTTCCAAGTACCTCTGAAAGATCTGATAACTATGCCTAGAAGCAGCATGCACTGGCAGGCCAAGTGGGCAAACCCTGGGATATAAGCTGAGTGAGCACTAGCTTTGATCTGCTCCCCATCAGGGTTGTACCTAAATTCCTAGGGTAACAAATGAGTTAGGAAGGATGACATTGGGAAGAAAGGGAAAGAACAGAGGCAGGTAGCCATTACCTTGGCCCGTTTCTTGCAGAGCAGCATCACAATGCTCAGGAACCCTGCTGCTGCAGCGTACCCCAGAGGAGTCAGGCCGCTTTCTGAAGAGGCATCTACATTGGCCCCAAACTCCAAAAGCAGGGCCACCATTTCTGTGTAACCAAGGTGAGACTGGACACATAGAATTGGAGCATTATTTAAAACCTCTGTCCGGTAATTAATATTGGCACCTCCCAAAATCAGCAGTCGGCTGACCTAGAAACAGAAATAATAAACAGACAAACATCAGCAATACCTTTTAAGTAATTTTAAAAATTAAATTACCTGAGACTCTACAACAATGCCCAGTAGTATTTAGTAATGTTTTGTTTTATACCCTTCATTTGCTCCCCTTTGAATACCTTGCTTTTGGAAAGGAATGTCAAATGTCTCCTTTAAATAAACTGCTCATTAGCTAGAGTGAATGTGCCTATACTATATTAGCTCAATTAAGCTAACTTTTCATGGTTTGAAAAGTTCCTCCTTAAACAAAGGCTACTGGAGAATCATTTATCCTCAGAACCTCTAGCAGAACCTGACCCCATGTATCAGTCAGTTATAAAAGGCAGGGCATCAGTCTTCAGTTCTCAGAATAAAATGTAGCAATTTAAAATATATTAAAATCGATAAAAAGTGAATCATTAGGAAATAGCCTAAGACAAGTCAGAGATCAACTAAATGGCCACTTGAGGTCCTCCTAATTATATGTTTTTCAGTTAATTATTTGTAGTTTGTATTTACCTTTATATTTGGAGTGTAGAGATTTCGTAAAGAGGCCAATGCCATGGAAAGACCTTCTGTGCTATAGGAGATCCAGAGACCTTGGAGGATGGAGGATGATACACCAACTTTTTTACTCAAACCCTGAAAAAGAAATATGGAGATAATTAAATTACTAACTCAGTTAAAAAGTATCATTAGTAATGAGTGAGTAGCCTCTAGGTTTTTGGTACTAATGAATAGTGCAGAATCTTACCTTAACAATGTTCATATCCAGCAAAGCCCATCCACTGATAGGGGCAGAGACTAGTCATATAGAAACACAGTATCTTAAACCATCTCCAGTAAGAGAGCACTTAACATCTTTTCTATGCTATACCTCGATGTAATTAATTTTTCTACATCTTTTTTTATTAGCCTTATTGACTAAGTAACTTAAGTCACTAAATTATACACCACAGCAGAGATAATGTGGAGATTGATCTTCATTTCATTTTCTTCCTAAACATTCTGGGAAAACTCTACCAGCCTCCTTTGCTGCTAGGTGGATCACATGACTGAATTCTGGTTAATATAATCCGGACAGGAGTAATATGCCATGCCCAGGTTTGGCTCTCAAACCTGTGTATTTCTGCAGACTTTTCCTCCTCACTGCAGGCTAGATGCAGTGGATCCAATGGATGGATCTGAGGTGATTTCAGAACTATCACAGAGAAGGAAGCTTAGCAATGGTCTGAACTAGACTACACTGTAAGTAGGAAATACATCTTTGTTGCATTAGGTCACTGTGATTTTGTGGGTTTCTTATAGCAGCTATGCATTCTTCACCCTTAACACAGTGCAAAACAACCACAAGTACTCATCCCTAGAGAAAAAAACAAGAAACTTTCTCCTATTATGACTGGCCCAAGTCCCACTACATTAGCAATCCTATGCTTACCTTTTTAATATAGAATTCTCTGGAAGGACACTGGGATAATTTAGTCTATAAATTGCCTTATCGTTAGACCCTGTCCACCAGCATCTTGCTTGTCTGCCTAAATAGGGGTCAAGTGAATTGAAACTGAAAATCTCAAGGGCAGGAAAATACTAACAGTAAAGTTTGGGAGTTCAGTGATCTGGGGAAAAATATTTCTCCAAAACGTATGCTGCTTCTGCTTGCTTTGTTCTTTGAAATGTAGGCTGTTCTGATGTGTTCATTCAGTATACGCTGGACAAAGAACTACTTACTTATGGTTCTACAATTCATCTAACAAGATCTCAAGTCACAGTGGTCATGCCTTTCCATAGAAGACCAAGGCTCTCGGAGTGAGTAAAGAAAGAATCTCCCACAGAGGGAATTCTTGCACTAGAGGCAAGGTACAACACATACTATGGAAAGCTGGATCTGTAAACAATGCCAAAAGGCTTTTCTGGCACAGCCATCTTTTCCCCCTGTATTATGTTGAAATAAATATGAAATAAACATATTAAAAAGAATAGTTTCTGAGTACACTGTAAGAGGATAGTGGGCTGGGCAGTAGCTAAAGTACTGCCTGCAGTTGAAAGAAACACTCAGATGATGTTTTATTTCTTGTGGGGTATGGTGGCTTACATGCTTGTGATCCCAGTACTCAGGAGTAGTAGACAGAAGATTTAATGCCAGCCTGTGCTACGCAGTAAAACCCCATCTCAAAACAAAACCCAAATCAAATTGATTTTTTTTTTTCGGTCTTTTTGAGGCAGGGTCTCCCTGTAGCCCCAGCTGTCCTGGAACTCACTATGTAGACCAGGCTGGCCTTGAACTCACAGAGATCCACCTGCCTCTTCCTTCTGAGTGCTGGGATTAAAGGCACGCGTCAGCCACCACACCCAGCCCAAATTGATTTTTTTTAAACATTTATTTATATTTGTGTGTATGTGTGTGTGTGTGTGTGTGTGTGTGTGTGAAGACAACTTCCACCATGTGGTTCTAAGGATCAAACTCAGGTTATAAAGCTTGGTGACAAATGCCTTTAACCCACTGAGCCATCTTGCCAGTCCATATCAAACTGATTTCTAAGATATTTTCAAAGCAGGCCCTTACCTGATCCCATTATTTCTAGACCTGAGGATCACCTCAAGTGCTGATATAAGGTGGTTCAGTGATATCTAATGTTGCATACCAATTTATAACCGGGAATTTTTTTTTTTTTTTTTTTTTTTAAAAGAGACTCTATGTTAGTTTTTGAAATTATAAAATAATACTTTATTATAAAAATAAAATAAAACAGGGCTGGAGATGTGGTTCAGTTAGCACAGTGCTTGCCTAGCATGCACAAAGTCCTGGGTTTGAACCCCAGCACCACATAAAAACTAGACATGGTGGTATACACCTGTAATGCCACCAGTTGGGAAGTGGAGGCAAAAGGATCAGAAATTTAAGGTCATCTTCAGTACACAGTGAGCTCGAGGTCAACCTAGGATACATGAGACCCTGCCTCAAAAAAATAAAAATGAAGTAGAACAGCATGGTACTGAAAATAAAAGCAGGGGCTGGAGAGATGGCTGAGCAGTTAAGGGCACTCGCTGCTCTTACAAAGGACCTGGGTTTGATTCCCAGCACTCACATGGCTAACAACTGTTGGTAACTCCAGTTACAGGGGAATCTGATGCCCTCTTCTGGCCTCCATGGGCATTATATAACATGGGTGCATCTACCTACATGCAGGCAATACATTCACACATAAAATAAAAAATAAATAAAATAGTTAAAAACAAAAGCAGTTTTAATCTCCCTTTATAATCTAAGAGGATACTAACAGATTGTTGTTTACCACTTAAGATATTTCTGTGCATATACAAACACATATTTACAAATGATGTGAAGTTTATTAAATTTTTTTTGTTATGGAAAATTTCAAGCTTATTTATAAAAGGAGAAAGAAAATAGCACAGGCTGAGCATCTCTGATCTAAAACTCTGAAATGCCTGCAAATCAGAAACCCTTTGAGCACTGATACAAAACCAGGAGTTGAAAATTCCATACCTGACTTTATATGACAGGTTGCATGTCAAAAAGACAGGCTTGCTAAAAGCACTGCATAAAGTTACTTTCAGGTTATGCATATGAAGAGAAACATAAATGAATTCTGTGTTTAGATCCAGGTTCCACTTTCAAGATATCTTATTATGTATGAAAAAGTATTTAAAAAAATCAGAAACCTAAAGTATTTCTGGTCTCAGGCATTTTGGATAAGAGAAAATCAGCACGTAAAATAAACTCTCATGTACATTTACTTCAATAATTGCCAACTGGTGGTCAATCTTGCTTTATTATATTCCTGCCCGTATTTTCTTTCCCCAGCTAGGTTATTTTTGAAGTGAATCCCAGATATCACCCGTTAATAGCTATTTCAGTCAGTGTCTCTAAAAGAGAAGGATTCTGTCTTTCTTTTTACTTTTTTTTCAAGGCAGATTCTTGCTAGGTAGCCCAGACTGGTCTTGAACTTGAGACCTTCCTGTATGCTGGGATTACACCATGGTGGATATACACTGCCATGCCAGACAATTCTTTTTTTTAGCTTTTACAAAAACTTTATTGAGAATTTCATATATGCATATAAAGTGTTTTGATCAAATCCATGCCCACTCCCTCCCCTCCAACAATCCCCCCTCCGAAGAGATAACCCTAAAGTCTTTTAAGGATTAGATATGAGATCCCAAATACTTTTGACATTTTTGGCCTTTGGAACAGAGTATGTTGCTAACAGGCCCAAGGACATTTTGACTTTTAGCCCAGAAACTGGCTACATTTCTTTGGGGTCTTTTTACCCTAACTGCCTAGCCAATTCCTATCTCCTATTATCACGCCATCCTCTGAAGGGGTTACCCAAATTGCCAATAGGGAATAGGGATGCAGACCGCTTTGGCTTCTTCTATGCTGAACAGGGATGGAGGGTGAGGCAATTGGAGTACCCCTTCAGTGAGTCTATCTAAAAGACTCCCAAATTGCATAACTCTTGTTTCTAAGGGGAAAAGAGAGTTCTTGAGTCATGAATAGGAGATGTGAAGGAGAAGTAAAGGCAAGAGTAATTAGCATTACAAGTTCTAGACAGGGAACTAGAAAAAAGTCATAACAGCGCAATTTTCAAATGTTCATATGAGAGTCCACTGGAGTTTCTTGACAGGGCTTCCAAAAGCATCTCTCTATTGGGTTCTTCCTCATTTTTCTTTTGTCTTCTAAGGCTGGACTAGTTGGCTGGGAAGAGTGGTTGGATACTCAGGTGAGAGTCCCGTGACCCTGCTTGGCTCTCTGCCATGCCAGACTTTTTAAGAACTCTTGAAAACCATACTCCTTGGGCTGCTGACATAGCTCACTGAGTAAGAGCACTTGCTGCCAAGCCTGATGACCTGAGTTTGATCCTTGTAACCCACATGGTAGGAGAGAACCTACTCCAACAAGTTGTCCTCTGACTTCCACATGTGCATAGTAGGACTCATGCACATCTGCCGATACCCAGATAAAGAAATAAATGTAAAAAAGCAGTCCAACATCATCAACATAAAATTAAGAATTATATAAAATTTCACCAAATATCCAGAGACCATTCAAATTTTCCTAATGATTCCAATACAGTGAAAAACAAACAAACAAACAAACAAACAAACAAACAAACAAACCTAAATGAACAGTGGTTTGAATTGGGGTCCACATATGTATTGCAACTGGCTTAAAAACACTTAAGATTTTAAAGGAACAATGAGATATTGTTACTTTTTAACATATTTATTTATTATATATATGAGTGTATTGCCTGCAGTGTAGGTGTACCTGCATCATACAATGCCCTCAGAGGTCAGAAAAGGCTGCTGTATTCCCTGGAACTGGAGTTATGGATGGTAGTTAGTCACCATGTGGGTGCTGGGAACTGAACCAGGGTCCTCTGCAAGTGTAGCCAGTGCTCTTAACAGCTGAGCCATCTCTCTAGTCCCTTTGTGCCCCCTTTGAGCCCCCATTGTGCCCCCTTTGAGCCATTTGGAATTGATTTTGTGCAGGGTGAAAGATAGGGGAAAACCATGATGGAGGGGTGAGACAATGTGAGAGATAAACAATACCTAGTGTAGTTTTGAAAAACAGAGGGAACCATATTACTCCTACAACCTACTGACAAATATACATTGGA